AGAGGTGTGGCAAAAGTTTTTCCACACAGCTATTGCTCTGCTATGAGGAGAAAAATTATTGCTCATCTATGATAAGAAGAGCTCTCTGAGGAGAAGAACGATTTTGCTCTTCAATGAGGAGAAGAGCTTTTTTGCTCTTCTATGAGCTAATTTGCTCTTCTATGTGGAGAAGAGCTATTTTGCTCTTCTATGAATATACGAGCTATTGTTCTGCTATGAGGAGAAGAGTTATTGCTCTTTTATAATGAGAAGAGCTATTTTTTTCTATTATGGGATGATCTATTGCTCTTCTATGATGAGAAGAGCTATTTTGCTCTTCTATGCTGAGAAGAACTATAGCTCTTCTATGATGCGAACAGCTAATTTTCTCTTCTCATTATAAGAAGAGGTAGTTTGCTCTATGATGATAAGAAAGCTTTTTTTGCTCTTCTATTCTGAGAAGAGCTGTTGCTCTTCTATGATAAGAAATATTTTACTCTTCTATGATTTTATCTTCTATAAGGAGAAGAGCTATTTCGATCTTCTATGATGAAAATATCTATTTTGATCTTCTATGATGATAAGAGCAATTTAGCTCTTCCATGATGAGAAGCGCTACTGTTCTTCTTTTTGATCGGAAGAGCTAAAATAATGTGAGATGTGCTAGAATTCTGAAATTTGGATTGAAAGGTACTGATGGAGAGCAGCTAAGTTGTACCAACGGGTTTTTGAACATTCTAATTCTAAGGTTAAATCCTAAAATTTCTAAAATGGTGCCATACCAAATGGTACAAGGGTAAAGCCAAAAACTTGAAATTTGTTATGAGAGTCAAGTTTGGAAAGTAAGTTAATAATGAACTCCTCGGTTAACTTCAAAATGAAAAATTTTGACGACTTGATGGTGTAAAAGGTAAACATTTTCCCATTATTCCTTCCGAAAAAAAACCTTGAAAGTCTGAAAATTTAGTGCGATGCATGAGGTTTTGATTAAAAATTTTCGTCAAACTGAGCTAATTATGCATTTTGAGTACTAAAAATTAAAAAAGCAGCTGAACTCGGCCGGACCGAACTTTTAATCCACCATTTGGAAGAAACTAGAAAAATTTCAATGAATTGCGAAAAATACCATGTAAATGATGACGTTTATACGACGTGGACCTACATAAGCATAATCGGCTGTAGTACCCATTAAGATCTCCAAATACGAAATTTTAAACAATTCGGGTAAATAAAGTCGCTTAAAACATCAAAATACCGATTATCGGAGGCACAGTTATATGGGGGCCTTACACGAACTGTTAGAACGAATCTAAAATTTTAAGGTGGACTATTTGCTGAAGAATTAGCGGGCACTTGCCAGTATAAATTATTCTAATCTTTTTGTTTTAAATACTTATGACGTAGAACTTTTGATCGGCACCTACTTTGCATAATTACGTTATTCATTTATTCAGATTTAAACGAATTTTTAATTGAACGCACACACTAATACATAATTTTATGGAGTCTTGCATATATGGACATATAATTGCCTACACACACATGAATAAATATATCTATATGTCACTATCATTACATACATATATGAACATTATGCACTCACACACACATATATATATTTATAAGCAATGAAAATATTACCGACACACATATATATGTATTAAAATATAAGCACATAATTGCAATGGTCCGAATCGAACTGAACCGAACATCATTGCTGTATGAAATGATTTTGCAACAAATCCTGGCACTTGCATTACTGGCATTGTCCGCTTTTGTGCACAGCTGCTTCGGCCCCCTTGGGATGGCAATGACTATACTTTACTCACACACATCCACATTTATTGTGTCTGCATAATAAGCATCGACATTTATGCAAGTGGCAGTCGTGCATGAATTCACATGGACATTTGCGCTCGGCGTTGTGGCTTAAAGTGATTGCGTCAGTGCACCTTTTGCACTCTATGTAAATTGCAGAATAGAAATGAATTCGAATTACAATCAGGCCATCTAAAAATGTAATTTTCTCGCAAATATACCCGCAGTGAACAGGAATCATTAGCCATAACGAAGAGAGCGGGGTCATTGATGACGATGATGATGTCGACACCTGCATAAATAATGAATGGTGGTTAAGAAATGCACGGAGGTTTTGCCGTGAATGACATTAGCGTTGCGAATGGGCCGGTTGGATGGTCATAATTGTGACTGGTATTAGTTTCGATTGGAATCTACTTATACAAGAATTAACTGTGCGATATTTGGGGTGGAGGTATTTTAGTAAATAAAAAGAAATTAACTTTAAATTGCCTTTAATTGCTTGTTTAGTTTTGTCCTGTACAAAAGTTGTTGTATATGGGCTAATGTTAGTTGTATATAGGCTTCTATAGAACAAATAATCTTGTCCAACACCTTTCTATAACAACCCCACAAACGATCGATATTGTTTGCAACTCCATAACAGTAATATTACTATCACCCTTACCAAATTTTGTAATAACCATAACTCATTCCTCACGTATCGCTCGTCTCAAGTTTCGAAGCGAAGAAGAAGCTGTCAAATTATTGAAATATTTTATGAAATAAATTCTAGGACATTTTGACTTGATCTAACCGACAGATAAATACTGTTAGATGGACTCCAAATATGACACACACAATAACTGGGAGTTCACAATGGTGTCCAAATTTAGCGTAACGTAATATCGATACTATGACTAGAACGAGTTTGGAGATGCCGATGTTCTGACCCACGACTTCGAGGGTGGGAAAATGAAAAACGACTGTATATGTAAATGGAGATTAATCGTTTCTAGGAATAATATCAAGCCATGTTCAAAACTCCAAATTATCTCAAGAAGTGCGAGTGGGTTTAAAAAGTACATTTTTATATCGGTAACTATTTACAATACAGTATTCTAACCACTTATTTTAATTCGACATATATATTTACGTAATCATGAATACTTAGATCCTAGACGGTATCTCCGCCGAATATTTCGTCATGTTTTAAATTGAATGACAAGTTAAAAAATAACAGTCGATTTTGCTGACAGATGTAACCTTAACCAATTGTCATTTATTTAAATATATTTTGACTTCTGTTATGATTCTTCAAACTTTTGACCCTTAATGGGGGATTGGGTCAATGTCGTCCATTTCATATCTGACTTAAATTCGATATAGATATTACAACGTTCCAGATTTTGATTATATCGGCTATTTCCTTCACGTTAAATGAAATACTTTGAAACTTTTGTAAGGATAAAATGAGCGCGAATAACCAGATATAGTGGTCCGATGTACTCCAATGTAACTAATACTAATACAATTTTTGGGTAAAGTAAAGATAATCGAATATTTATTTATGTCGAATAATTGCATTCTTTGTGGGGAACGTACCAGAAAGAGAGGGTCGATATATCCATGTTCATTAACTAAGTTTAAAATGAATCGCTCAATTGTTCCGCAAGTTACGAGGGAATATATTGTATTGTAACCCTTTGTTTGGGTGGTAGGAGAAGGGTTAAGCCGACATGCAGGGTGAGATGAAAAAACTACAACCAACTTCAGACTGCTGTCATTTCTAAGTCAAACGTCCGACTGCTGTTAAAATTATTCCAGTGACAGCTCATTATATTGTTTACAAGCGCACAAAAGCATTTTGATGAGAATTTTCCAGAAAAAAAGTTATTCGTGATGGAATTCAAGTGTGATAGTTTGATTTCTTTATATTTGGCTGGAAAACCACAAGTGGCTATCGTTAGAGCACTCCAGCATTTTAATGTGAACAAATCGTTTGTGTCTCGTAGCGTCGCTCGTTATCGTGATACTGGTAGCGCAGCCCGAAATCAAGGAAGTATAAGGAAGAAAACAGCAACATCAGCAGAAATGTTTCGAAAAGTAAACAAGCGATTTGATCGAACCCCGTGTCGCAGTGGCAGTGGCTCGTGAGCTGAACATATCGCAATATTCCATTCGGTTAATATTGATGAGCTCGGGGTAAAACCGCAACTGAAAGAAAATAGATTCAAAGATCTAAAGAGTTGCTTCGCTTGGCCGAAAGTGGTGAACTGCCGAATTTGGTCCGATGAGAACAAACAAAATGATCGTGTTTACTTGCCAAAGAGGTCAGCTGAAAATGTGCACCTTCGGCTGGCTACCAGAGCTCAAGCGCCGGCCATGGTGATGGTGTGGGCCGCCAAAATAGCCGATAGTCGCTCTACGCTCGTATTAATCGACCGTGGCATCCGAATAAATGCCGAATATTATCGCGAAAATATTCTTGAGCATTATATTAAAGCTTTAGGCACGCAAACATTTTGGCCACAGACCTTGGACATTCGAACAGGACTCAGCACCATCGCACTCAGTATGCGCCACTTAAGAATGGTTACAAAATGAGGTTCCTCGCTTCATTTCCAACGCACAATGGCCACCAAAATCTCCGGATACCAATCCGTTGGACTATGGTGTCTGGAGAATTTTGAAAAACAAGGTTGGCACTAAAAAATACCAAAGTGTCGATCACCTCAAGCAATCGCTTCGCCGCGAATGGGCCAAAATACCGCATAGCAACATTCGAACAAATCTAAACTTATTCTAAAATTTGCTGCTATTTCCGACATTTCTTGCTTTCATTCAGTAAAAATAAAAAAATAGTTAAAAATTATGGCATTTGACTTTGTTGTCCTTTTTTTATCTCACCCTGTGTATGATAGTAGCGAATAAAAAAAATTGCTTCATTTTGAAAGCCAATCTGTGGTTAAAGTTCAAACCACTCCAACTCCCTGAAAAGGAAGCACATGCTGTCATTTTCAATAGTTCCAACTCTAAATTGTCCTTTTATCCAATTATCCACATTATATCTATAATATCATTAAATCCAACATACACATACATACAAACTCATACATGTGACAATGTACTCTACTTAAATCTGCAATAACTTCAAACCACTACTTATGTACATTTATTTATTTATTTTTTTAATATTTTTTCTATCTTTCCATTTCTTGCAGGACCACCATATGTGCGAGCCATTGGACCCATCAAAGCTGTCGCCGGCGAAGATGTAACAGTACATTGTCCATTTTCCGGCTATCCAATAGAACAAATTAGATGGGAGCAAGGACATCATGAACTGACAACAAGTAAGACAAATTGCCAATGTTAGCTGGACATCGATAGAAAAGCCAGAAAAAAAAAGAAACGAAACGAAAATCGATGGACATTCGAACAACAAATATGCAAATGGCATGTTCGATGGAAACGAGGGGCCATACAGAAGTTTGAAAACCCAATCTTTTTAAAGGAAATTAATGAAAACAACATATACATATATTTTTTAAATCCTGTTGTTTTAACTTTGAATACGTTTTTGAAATTTTTGATACCTTGAGTATGGTTTATTTGTAACTTCTGTATAACCCCACGTAGCTATGCAAAATTCTAGTACATTCAATCCATATGTGTCCATCCAATATATATGTATGTGAACTTTATAACAGCAAACCCAAATGGTTATTTCTCTAGATAGATTTTTTTTGTGTGTATGAGTATGTCCCTTAACATGTCGTATATTTTTTTGGTGCACTTATGTTTTTTGTTGCAGATTCCCATTACTCTTTAGCACCCGTACAACAGGGAGGATATCTTGTCATCAAGAATGTTGAACCAACTCGTGACCAGGGCATCTACACCTGTATTGTTAAGGTTCGCACGGGAGAGGAAGCACGACGTGATATTCAATTGAATGTCAATAGTAAGTATTCTATGTATGTTTTTTCTCCTACCCTACCCTCCCCTCCCCACCGTCCGATGTCCTCCTAACCAAATTGTACAAGTCCCATGTAGATATGACGATGATGTTTCCATTCGACATTATTTGAAATTCAATGACTCAATTTTATCTCAGTTTTACTTCCTAAGGGAAAATTTTGAGCTTGTTAACAATTGGGAACGGTTATATGACAATCCGGTGTGGATGTACATAAAATTTGTTTTTGTGTGAGTGTGTGTGCATGTGTGTGTTTGTGTGGACTTGTGACTGAACAATTGACATAAATTTGAAAATGTGTGATTCATACAATACGGATGTTCGTTCGAGCGATGAAAACATCCAAAGGTGAACTACATTTGCAGATCAAACGTTTTAAGCACTGATGTTGCAGTGGATTTAAATAACAAAAAAAAAAAAAAAATAGGATGTATCCTAAAGGACGATTACAATTGTGAGAGACATTTAGATTTCTCGTCCATTGCTCTGAAGACCGTGGTGTAGATTTTGACTGGGTCAAAAATATAAAAGAGGAATTTAAAGTCATATGAAGCGTTTACAGACCAGATGTGTTATTTTGAACTAGCCATTGATGTGAAGGATAAAGCTGGTGCACTTTGCTTAATAACAACTTAGAATACTGCTGCTGCACTTCAAGGTACTCTACCCCCAAATTTGCCCATTTATTGTCGTAAACCATATTCCTTTTAAACCCTCCATCCTTTTAAACCCTCATAGTAAGGAGGGTATATTAAGTTTGTCATTCCATTTGTAACACCTTGAAATATACATTTTTGACCCCAAAAAGTATATATATTCTTGATCAGCATAAAATTCTATGTCGATATAGCGATGTCCGTCTGTCCATCATCCGTATGTGGTAATCACTCTAGCTTCCGAACGAAATGAATAGATTGATAACATTTTACTCAAATGTATATTATGTCTGCAGGACTTAAGGTATTGAAAATGGGTCATGTAGGTATACCCTCATATAACGGTACCTCCCTATTTTCGGTATTGTTGATTAAAGCGGCATTATTCATTGGAATTGTTTCTAATGTAGTATTTGAAGTTAGTGATGGATACTCTAGCCTATGACAGAAAATTGTATGTGCAGATCCACGTTTTCATATATCCCCCATATAACGGTAACTCCCGATATTCGGTATTTTGATGATTTTAGCGACATTATTCACCGGAATTCTTTCAAATTTGGTATTTGAAGTTCGTAATGGGAACTTTAGCCTAAGACAGAATATTGTCTATACAGGTCCACGTCTTCGTATAGCCCTCATATAACGACACCTTTCAATATTCGGTATTTTGATGATATTAGCGACATTATTTACTGAAATTGTACTTGAAGTTCGTAATGTATACTACAGCCTATGACAAAAAATTGTTTGTGCAGGTCCACGTTTTGGTATAGCCCACATATAATAGTACGTCTCTATTTTCGGTATTTTGATGATTTTAGCTACATTATTCACAGTATTGTTTACAAGTTTCGCATTTAAACATTGAAATAGCTTATGACAAAAGTTGCCTATTGCAGGTCCACGTTGCCGTGTAGACTTTAATATAAAAACTACGATCGGTATTTTTAAGATTTTAACAGAATTTTTAATGGAATTTATTTATTTTATTTTTTTGAAAATTGCTAAATTCTTTCCAAATGGTGGAGGTTATTCAAAGATCGTTTTTCTACTTGATGTTATTCAAGAAGTTGACCCATTACAGGGTGAGATGAAAAAACTGCAACCAAATTTAGACTGCTGTCATTTCTAAGCCACTTGTCCGATAGCTGTTAAAATTATTCCAGTGACAGCTCATTATATTGCTTACAAGCGTACAAAAGCATTTTGGTGAGAAAACAGCAAACTCAGTAGAAATGGTTCGAAAAGTAAAGAAGCGACTTGATCGAAACCCGCGTCGCAGTGGCCCAAAAATGGCTCGTGAGCTGAACATATAGTAATATTCCATTCGCCAAAAATTGAAAAATTAGCTTGGGGTAAAGCCATTGAAATTCCAAAAAGTGCAAGAACTTACACCGCAACAGGAAGAAAATGTTCTCAAGAGAGCTAAAGAGTTGCTTCGCTTGGCCGAAAGTGGTGAACTCCCGAATTTGGTTTTCTCCGATGAGAAAACGTTCGTTGTCCAGCAGTTTGTAAACAAACAAAATGACGTGTTTACTTGCCAAAGAGGTAAGCTGAAAATGTGCACCTTCTGTTGGCCACCAGAACTCAAGCGCCGGCCATGGTGATGGTATTGGCAGCTATAACAGCCGATGATCGCTCTCCGCTCGTATTAATGGACCGTGAGATCAGAATAAATGCCGAATATAATCGCGAAAATATTCTGAAGGGTGTTTTAAAGCCTTGGGCACGCAAACATTTTGGCCGCAGACCTTGGACATTCCAACAGGACTCAGCACGCGCCCCTCAAGAACGGTCAGCTCCAGCGCACAATGGCCACCAAAATCTCCGAATACCAATCCGTTGGACTATTGTGTCTGGAGTATTGTAGAAAGCTAAAACTAAACAAGTAAAAAATATTAAGTTCGGCCGTGCCAAACTTTTAACACCCTCCACCTTAGGGTAAAGGAAACATTAGAAGAAATGTGGCCAAAACCATTAAAATGCCGAATATCAGGAGGTATCGTTATATGGGGGCTATACCAAATCGTGCACCTACACATGCAATGTTTCGCCAACGGAGCTAGAACCCATTATGACCTAGAAATACCAATTTTCCGACAAATACGTGAAAAAATGTGGCAAAAATAATCAAATTACCGAATATCGGGAGGTACCGTTATGTGGGGACTATATCAAAACGTGGACCTATACATGCAATGGTTTGCCACACGCACAGGGACCCGTTATGACCTACAAATACAAATTTTGAGACAAATCAGTGAACAAATGTGGCAAAAACCATCAAAATACCGAATATCGGGAGGTACCGTTATATGGGGACTATACCAGAACGTGGACCGATAAATCTCATTTTCAGTACCAACCATCCTAGACACAATACAAATTGCTCTGCTAAATTTTGGCTGTATCGTGATTTCAACAGACAGACAGACGGACATGGTTAAGTCGACTTAGAATTTTATGCTGATTTTGAATATATATACTTTATGGGGTCTACGATGAATATTTAAGGATGTTACAAACGGAATGACAAAGTTAATATACCCTCCTTTTCAAGGTAGATGGTATAAAAATACCAAAGTTTCGATCACCTCAAGCAAGCGCTTCGCCGGGAATGGGCCAAAATACCGCAGAGCAACATTCGGACAGCATGTGACTGTTTCATAGGCCGTTTGAAGGTCATTATTCCTGCCAAAGAAGACCAATTGGAACAAATAATTTTTTTTTTTTTTAAATTTGTTGCTATCTCCGATATTTTTTGCTTTCATTCAATAAAATTTAAAAAAATAAAATTATGGCGTTTGACTTTGTTGCAGTTTTTTTTTATCTCACCCTGTACATTGGGGGTTATCCCCCACTGCAAAAAATATTGCGAAAAATATCGTTTCGACCACAATGGACCTCTTCTGTTATTACATTTATTTAAAACGTTTTATAAAAAATAAATTCACTAACCGACACAACCCCCCATTTTGTTTATCCCCAAATTAAAAATCAATTTTCAGCAATTTTGCAAACTATTTACACATTATTGTATTTTTCAATTTTCTTCGTATTCTTATCTCTCATTTTCGTAGGCCCTCCAGTTATTGAGCCATTCAAGTTTCCCAAAAATCTCCAAGAAGGAGGGCGGGCACAAATTACATGTGCCGTGTCCTCGGGTGATATGCCCATATTTTTTAGTTGGAAAAAAGATGATATGTCTATACCATCAAGTCTACAGGTAAGTGATAATCTTTCGAATGGCCAAAGAAGAAGAAGAAGAAGCAAAAGAAGAGGTAGTAAAGAAACCCAACAAAATAAAATATTGAGAAAAGATAAAGCCTCCCAGCCGTTGAAATTGAATAAGAGAAATCACATACTTATTCATTTCTAATAACACACACAATTTAATACATTATCCCTGGGGGGCGACTAAATAGATGTGTCTCCATATCCTGTCTGTCCTGAGGTCTTTGTATCAAACTTGTTGTTTGTTACAAGGAAGAGGGACCGAAATTTGTGTGTGTGGGGCTGTATTTTATTCTTCTTGCCAGACAAAAAAAGGAAAGAAAGAAGAAACAAACAAACGACGTCACAATGAAATTTCTTTGGTTGCAGACATAAAAAGGATTTTTGTTGTTGTTGTGTTTTTTGTTCGGCTCTTCTCTGTCCAAAATCTTCGGCTATACACCGTTGTTGGGGTTTAAAGTAATCTATGGTTTTATGGTCTATTTTTGTTCCCAATTTCTTTTTGTGCTTTGTTTTCAATTAACAAAAGATTTCCGAGAAAAAGGAGGAGTTTTATTCGTTGCTGGTTTTTAAGGACATCAGTGCTAAGCACAGCGGCAAATACACCTGTTATGCCAGCAATGCCGCTGCCAAGGTCAACTACACGGCTGAGCTGCAAGTTAGAGGTGAGTAGAATATTTTTATTTTGGAATTTGTTATAAATAAATTTGAGCTTAAAAAGGTATATTGAAAATGTGAGTTGAAATTATCGTATAATTTGGAGGTAATCTTATTTAAAGGTTCGAAATTCTACTGAAAATGGAAATTGTTGTCTGGGTCATTATTATTTTTTTTATACCCTCCACCATAGTATTTATTTAGCAATGTTAAAACGTGTCTAGTCGAAATATCGGATTTAGACTCAATGTCTCTTTGGTCCAAATCCATTTCAGGAAGTTTGGAGTTGTTTTAGCGATGTCCATCCGTCTGTGGAAATCACTCTAGCTTCCGAACGAAATGAAGTAGATTGATAAAATTTTACTCAAGTGTATATTATGTCTGCAGGACTTTGGTATTGAAAATGGGCCATGTATGTCCACATTTTGGTATAGCCCCCATATAACGGTACCTCCCGATATTCAGTACATTGATGATTTTAGCTATATTATTCACCGGAATTGTTTCAAATTTGGTATTTGATGTTCGAAATGGATGCTCCGGCCTAGGACAGAAAATTTTCTGTACATGTCCACGTCTTCGTATAGCCCCCCATATAGTGGTACCTCCCGATATTCGGTATTTTAATGATATTAACTACATTATTCACCGATTTTTTTTAGTTTCATATTTGAATATTGTAATGGCTTATGACCAAATTTACCTATGGAGGTCCATGTCGTCGTATAGACCCTAACAAAAAAGCTACATTGAGTATTTTTAAGATTTTAATAGAATTTTTAACGGATTTTATTGTATTTGAGAGTTGCCAAATTCATTCCAAATGGTAGAGGGTATTCAAAGTTCGGCCCGGTCGAACTTACAGCTTTTCGTACTAATTTTTTATTTATTTTTTTATTTTTTTTTTAGTTTCATTTTAACAACATGTGGTCAGTTGTAGTCCTGAATTATTATGCTATCAGTAATATGGGTCAAGAGGTCAAAAAGTGTCCAATCGAATTCGAAATCTATTTTGGGGTATTCAGAGACGCTAACAGTCACTCAAATATTGCATATTCATTCTTGTACCTCTCCCGTACAAATTTCGAAAATGAATCGAATATATACCCCATATAAAACGAACCGACTACCCGTTAAACTCTGAATTTGTTCGGTGGTAAAATTTGTATCAGACTTGGGTTAGTTCCAAAAAAATGTAAATCTCGACCAACTGTTTTTCGCAGTTTCGCCCAAAAGGTCAACATTTTGAGTATTAATTAACTTGGTAAAAAATTAAAACAATGTTCGATGTTCTTTAAACTCACAAATTTATTGGGTGGTAAAATTTTATCTTTTTATCTACTTCCCATCCAATTTTTCTGGCAAAACCATTTCAACATATTTTCATAATAAAGATTGAGCACTAAATCCTAGAAACCAACAGTGACCAAAATATTAAATTTCAGGTTTCAAACTCTATCCATTCCCTAAGCTGCAAATTTAGTACCATTTAGTACTTTTCGAACAACCATAGCATGCATATACCAATATTGGTCCCCATATCATATTTTGGAATTCCAGCTTCATACTTAGACCCAATCCCATGTTTATTACCATATTTTTCGTACAATTATACTACGCATGTCCAAGGCCACTTCATTCTCTCCACCCTCCAAAACTCTCAGCTACAAACACCAACAAAAACATCCATATCCAACACCAACAATAACATCTATATCAAATTTCTTTATTTTAGCTCTGTAACTCCCTCCATTACCACATTTAGTACCATTTGATACAATAATGTGTGCATAACCTAACCAGCTCCTTCTCTAACACATCAACAATAACATTCATATGAAATTTCAGGATAACAGCTCTATGCCTTCACCAAGTACCCTATTTAGTACCATTTAGTACTTTTCGAACAATTATAGTACACACTTTCAAAACTGCCTCCATATCTTAACTACAGACACCAACAATGACATCTTTATAAAATTTGACGATTTTAGCTCTATTCTTCCAATAGCGAATTTAGTACCACTTTTCGTACAATTTTAGCACACATTTCCAAAATCACCTCCATATCACAATTCCAGATTCAGGATTCTGGCCCTATAACTTCACCCAATTCTAAATTTAGTATCCTTTAGTACTTTTTGAACAATTGTAGTACACATCACGAAATCAACCCCTTTTCTTAGCCGCAGACAACAACAGGGACATTTATATCAAATTTCGGGGTTCCACCTCTATACATTCACTCAATACCATATTTAGTAACATTTGGTATTTTGTGTATAATTTTTGTATCATTTTCAAATCTTTTCCATATCTCAATCGTAGGCACTAACAGTTATCGCAATATAAAATTTCGCGATTTAACCCCTACATCCAATACCGAATTTAGTAGCATTTAGTACTTTTCGTACAAATATAGAATGACCACCGAAAATCAAATTGTATAACTTTTATCTCTGCCCCTTCAACCAACACCAAATATTGTACCATTCAGTACTTTTCGTACAATAATGGCACACATTTCCAAAAACAAGTCCACATGCCCAGGCTACACGTGAACAGTTTCTCAAATACCAGATCTTGGGTTTATAAAAATATTGGGATGTGTGACTCGGACTCTTACATAACATTTTATAAGAGTTGAAATTATTGAACATTTGAGGTACTTGATGGAGTGGACCGATATTGTCCATTTTCGCACCTGACCTAGCACTGACGTAAATATTAGGATTTGCAAAGTTGACGCAAAATCGGATAATCGTTTCTCTTTCTGTGTAGAAAATATATTTTTTGAAAATTTCGACCTTTTATGGGGGAGGTACCAGAAGGAGTGGACCGATATTGGTCATCTTCAAACTCGATCTATGTTTGTCAAAAATATTACGATGTACCAATTTTGGACCAAATCGGATACTCCCTTCGAGGGTTATCGTGCACACCAGCCAGATAGACAGACGGATGGAAGAACATCGCGAAAACGACTCCAAATATCCTGAAACGGATTTGGACCAAAGAGACTTTGGGTATAAACCCGTTATTTCGACTAGGCACGTTTTGACGGTAACATATGGCTGAGGGTATAAAAATTCGGTGAACAATGTTGCTAAAATCATCAAAATATCTAATATCGGGAGGTACCATTATATGGGGGCTATACAAAGATAGACCTGCACAGAAAATTTTCCGTCTTAGGCTGTAGTATCTATTACAAACTTTAAATACCAAATTTGAAACATTTCCGGTGAATAATGTCGCTTGAATCACCAATATACCGAATATAGGGAGGTACCATTATATTAATACTAAAAGTCCTTCAAACATAATATACATTTGAGTAAAATTTTATCAACCTACTTAATTTCGTTCCGAAGGTAGAGTGATTTCCACAGACGGGCGGACATCGCTAAAACGACTCCAAATGTCCTGAAACGGATTTGGACCAAAGAGACATTCAGTCTACATCCGTTATTTCGACTATGCACGTTTTGACATTGCTAAATGCTAAGTTTATAGTCTTTGAGGAATTATATTCAAAATTTTCTTCGAAATCCTCGGTTGAATTCATTCAAAACTTATCATCGAAATCGGGAAAAACTCTATAAATTGCTGACTTTTCAAATATTTATTTCATAGCCTTTGACTATAGCTTTATAAGTTTTTCAGTTATGCGTGTAGATGCTTAAGTTATTTTTGAATCTATTTAAAACAATTGTATTTATTTGTTTTTTTAATACAATAATCGACATTTGTCGATAAATTCAAAATTAATTTTGGCACTGTCAGGTTTTAATTTGGTCCAAACATTTTTTATTTTCTCTAAATACCTTGGAAACTTTACAAAATCTCTTACTGTAAATCACGGTAGATTTTCTTGGAATGAAGCTTTGAATTTACACAAAGACACAGAAAATAACAAAACATCCATATACCACTAATGTCCCTTACCCTTAGTATTAAAGGATTTCATTCATTTTTATATATTTAGTACAACTCCTCATGTCTTTAAGCACCACTCCTCACCAAAAAAAGAGAGCGAATATTTTCTTAGTTTTTGCTACAGTTTATTTTTTGCGTTCTTTTTTGGTATTTCCTTAATTTGGTGCTCTACTTTGTTTCTTGCGATTTTCGGGTATTGACTGCTTTTCAATATACCTCTAAGTACATATATATATGGCGTACAACAAGATAGCGTTTACTTTACCTCAGTCACTGATACATACTTAAATATTGTCTTACTTTATTTGATCACGTTTAGTTGCACCACGCTGGTCGTTCGAACCAATGGATACGGCCATAATGCTTGGCAATACAATATCAATAAACTGTGAGGCAGAAGGATATCCGATACCCACGATTACCTGGTTCAAAGGACAAGGTAAGTTAATACATACACAGTGCCATACATACGTACACAAAGTTGTCGATTTTATGGTAGTTGTTTTTGGTCCAGAATTTATTTTTCTTACAATGAGGTGAGTATATTAAGTGTGGGAAAATTTTAGTGCTCAAAATATAATAACAATTAACCCGTCTTCCTAAAGCATCACTAAAGCAAGAGTATGCATTGCAAGAAATGTAGTTGTTGTGGGCAAAAAATCCAGCACTACAAGAACAAATTTTGCTGTGAAAAAGATCTGCTAATAGAACTTGAGTCGAACTTGGAAAGTTTCTAATGTTTAATTCGCATATGCTAAATCGCAATAAGTACTGCTTTCCAGAAAAAGGCCCTTGTAAGCCATCATCCACACCAAATATGCCTGATGAGCCGCTTAACCAACGGCGAAACGCGTCGCATAGTGGTGAGTGTGTGATAGTGACTATCTGGCTTTCCTTTTCAATGCAAAATGTTCAGATCATTAAGCTCGCCTCCAAAGAGAAACAAACACATAAATCATAAACATATGATCTTCGCTTTAACAAGGCAAGACTCAAAAAAAAAAAAAAATAGTTTATCAGTTTCAAAAAACATACATTGGGAAAATTGGAATGGAAAGCAATTCTCCATAGAAGGCAGACTTAATCTGAAATTTAATAAAAATGTATTCCACTCTAAATACAGGGTGAGATGAAAAAATGCACCATTTATAAGCCACTCGTCCGACAGCTGTTAAAATTATTCCAGTGACACCTCATTATATTGTTATATTATATATACAAAAGCATTTTGGTGAGAATTATCCAGAAAAAAAGTTATTCGTGATGGAATTCAAGCTTGATAGTGTGATTTCTTTATCTTTGCTGAAAACCACAAGTAGCTATCGTTAGAGCTCTCCAGCATTTAAATGTGAATAAATCTTTTGTGTCTCGTACCATAGCTCGTAACCGTGATAGGTTACGATGTCAAGGAAGAGGACGGAAGATAACAGCAACATCAGCAGAAAGTAAAGAAACGACTTGATCGAAACCCGCGTCGCAGTGGCCGAAAAATGGCACGTGAGCTGAACATATCGCAATATTCCATTCGGCAAATATTGCAAAATGAGCTCGTGGTAAAGCAATTGAAATTCCAAGAAGTACAAGAACTTGCACCGCAGCAGAAAGAAAATAAACTCAAAAGAGCTAAAGAGGTGCTTCGCTCGGCCGTAAGTGGTGAACTGCCGAATATGGGTTTCTCCGATGAGAAAACATTCGTTGTTCAGCAGTTTGTAAACAAACAAAATGATCGTGTTTACTTGCCAAAGAGGTCAGCTAATATGTGCACTTTCGGTTGGCCACCAGAACTCAAGCCCCGGCCATGATGATAGTATGGGCCGCCATAACAGTCGATGGTCGCTCTCCGCTCGTATTAATCGACCGTGGCATCAGAATAAATGCCGAATATTATCACAAAAATATTCTGGAGGATGTATTAAGGCCTTGGGCACGCAAAAATTTTGGCCGCAGACCTTCGAAATTCTAACAGGACTCAGCACCATCGCACTCAGCACACGCCAACCAAGAATAGTTACAAAATGAGGTTCCTCGCTTAATTTCCAGCGCACAACGCCCACCAAAATCTACGGATACCAATCCGTTGGACTATTGTGTCTGGAGTATTTTGGAAAGCAAGGTTTGCACTTAAAAATATCAAAGTGTCGATCACCTCAAGCAAGCGCTTCGCTGGGAATGGACCAAAATACCCTCAGCCATATGGCTATAGAGGGTATATATAATTTTGTACGGCAAAAACGTGCCTCATCGAAATAACGGTTGTAGACTTTAGGTTTTTTTGGACCAAATCCGTTTCATGGCATTTGGAGTCGATCTAGAGATGTCCGGCTGTCTATCTGTCTGGCTGGCTGGTGCGCACGATAACTCTCGAAGGGAGTATCCTATTTGGTCCAAACTTGTTACATCGTAATATTTTTGTCAAACTTAAAATGAGTTCGGAGATTGGCAATATCGTTCCACTCCTTCTGGTACCTCCGCCATAAAAGTTCAAAATTTTTAAAGAACATATTTTAATGCACAGAAAGAGAAAGGATTATCCAATATGACTCCAACTTTGCAAATCCAAATATTTACATAAATGCTATGTAAGGTGCGAAAATGCACGATATCGGTCCACTCCATCTAGTAGCTCCCCCACAAAGGGTCAACATTTTGAATATCCATGAAGCTCATAAACGCGAAATTAACTTCTGATTCCATTCAGACTTAATACATCTCAACATTTTCATCAACACAAAAGCTCTTGTAGATATGGTAGAGATCGGACCATTTCTTCTGGTACCTCCCCCACAAAGGGTCAAAGACTTGAATAAACAAAACGATCATAAAATCCGAAATAATCATTCGGTTCTCATCATATTTCCCCTTATTTTTACAGACACTACATCTGATGTGAAGATTGTATATATTGGTTTACTCCTTCTGGTACCTCCCCCACAAAGGGTCAACATTTTGAATATCCATGAAGCTCATAAAACTCGAAATTATTATTCTGGTACTTCCCCCACAAATGGTTCAAAACTTCAAAGCTCATAAAACAAAACAAAAAAAAAAAAAACAACACTCATAAAATGCCGAATGAACATATCTCTTCAAATTTCACACAACCAAACATTTTTTCTAACACAAGATCTGTTGTGAAGATGATGTATTTCTGCGAACCCCTTCTGGTACCCCACCCACAAATGGTCACAATTTTAAATATTTTATATGTCATGTCTGCGATTCTTTACAACTTGTTATATCTTAACATTTTTCTCTGCCTGAAACCTGAGATAAATGTGGAATTTATGATTTCGCATAAAATTGTATATAACTGTCGACTATATCTGGAACCTCACCCACATTTTAAAAATCTCTCTCATCTCATATAAAGTGAAGGAAGCACCAATACATTCCAAACCTTGCACGCCGCAAGATTTATATCATATTGATTTAGATCCGAGACGAAATTGACTATATTGACCCATTCCTTCGGAACCTGAGCCATAGAGGGTCAACAATTTGAATAATCGTAAAAGAAGTCAAAATAATACTTTTTAACTTGTTTTAACTCAACTTTCTTAAACTGCTGGATTTTCCCGTTGTTATTAAAAAAATTGAATTTTGTCGCACACTGTTATTTTTTCACGATTTATATTCTCACCTCACTTCCCATACCGATCGCTTCTATTTGCCAACATTTCCATTATGCTTCATCTGCGCATCTAGTTCTAAGTTTACTTTTGTTCATCCATTGAATTCACTAAAGTAAAATAAACATTTGTTAAGAATTGTATCAACATTTCTCATCCGGCTGGGCTCCCTACACAAAAATGGCTTTTCGGAATGGAATCCGTTACATTAATTCAGCTACAATTCGTTACTGCTTAAGTACCAGAAACGGAGTGGTTTGCTACAGGGGAGAAGCCGGAGAGAAGAGGAAGCAGATTTACCTTTAATGGTGGCTACGAAAGAAACAGAACCATTAAATATTTTCGTTAAATACACTTACAATAATCATTCGGCTACTGATGCTAAAGCTATTCTATCCATCTCACCACCACTGCAACTACTGCTCACAGATAGATATGACCAAGCGTGGTGGTCGTCACCGAAGTTACCGCCAGCCATTGCATGCCTTTGCTCTGTGGCAACCAGCCATAGTTCGAGTAATCACAGAAAGTGAGTTCATTAAAGTTTGATATTCTGTTTCCTCCAAACCAACTCAAACCTGCAACGTGGCAGAAAAAAATGAAGAGCCAAAGCCAAAGGAATATCATAGAATTAGGATGTTCATTTTATTGAAATGCTTTTTCCCTTTTCCATTTTGCTTTACTCTTCAAATACTACAACGCTTACACTCACACAGAGAACCATTGAATTGTAACGGATGAGCATGAATGAAGAAGAAGACCCCGAGAGTGGGATGACAGTGTGTGAGTGGGAGCTGAAAAAAAAAAAACATTTATTAATGTATTCAGTCTGTCAAGGGAGGGGGAGGTGGTTGCCATTGCGTTTTGCTGTAGCCAGCTGAAATCAGGTTAATTGATTAGTTTGGACTACGTTAATTTTTTATGCGCTTCAATAGCTTAAACATTGCACAGCGAAAAATAAATAAATGCCAATAATTATAAAAGCGGATGTTGATCCGAATTGAGCACAAAATTTGTTATGTAAATAACTATTTACTTATATCCGCAATGCTATTAAAAAATAATGATGAATCCATTCAATTAAACAAAAAGAATATTCATACATACATATTAACATCAAATTGAAGAAGGGATAGCGGATGTCGTTGTTAGAATGGGCTTAGCAGACACGAGAAAAACAAACACCATTAATGTTTAATTAAACGAATCAAAGTCATTATTTGTGGATGTTCAAATAAATGTAGGATAAAATTAAGGAAATGGGTGAATAAATTATTTAAGTCAAAATATTAATGAACGCAATTTATCGTAAGGTAAATGCGGCTGAGAAAATGTTTTTTGGAGATGCTTGCATGAAATATTTATACATTAGGAAGAGATAAGAAATTAATTTTTATTCGTTCATTCGAAGAAAATGTGCTATTTTCCATTTTCAGTTTTGTAGAATGGTTGTCCAACTTCAATTCGGACGAAGACTTAGAACACAAATCCAGTACATACAATCTAGAACCTCCGTTTTAAATTCACAATATTTTAAATATACAGGGTGAGATAAAACAAGATAATACGCAGTAAGTTCGGCCGAGCATACCCTCCACCATTTGGAACGATCTTGGACATTTTCAAAATTAAAATCCGTTAAAAAATCTTTTAAAATCTTAAAAATACCGAATACAGCCGTTATATTGGTCTATACGACGTGAACCTAAATAGGCTTTGTTTGTCACAAGCCATTACCATATTCTAATTCGAAGTTTGAAATAAACGGTGAATAATGTAGCTAAAATCATCAAAATACTATATATAGGAAGGTACCGTTATATCGGACCTATAGGAAGACCTGGACCTGCATAGACAATTTTCTGTCACAGGCTGTAGCTTCCATTACGAACATGAAATACGACATCTCAAACATTTTCGATGAGTATTCTATCTAAAATCGTCAAAATATCGATTATAGAGAGGTACTGATATATGGGGCCTATACGAAGTCCCGGACCTGCATAGAAATTTTCTGTCGTAGGCTGTAGCACCCATTTCGAAGTTCAAGTACGACATCTCACACAATTTCGGTGGGTATTGTAAAAACACGTCAAAATACCGAATTTAAGGAGGTACTGATATATGGGGTCTAAACGAAGACCTGGACCTGCATAGACAATTTTCTGTCATAGACTGTAGATTTGAAACAATTCCGGTGAATAATGACGATAAAATCATAAAAATACCGAATATTGGGAGGTATAGTTATATGGGGGCTATACGAAGACGTGACCTGCATAGAAAATTTTCTGTCATAGGCTGTAGTATTAATTACGAACTTAATAACAAATTTGAAACATTTCCGGTGAATGATGTCGCTTAAATCACCAAAATACCGAAACCAGAAAGATATCATTACAGGGTGTGTTGGAAAAACTGCAAGTAACTTCAGACTGCTGTAATTTCTAAGCCACTCGTCCGACAGCTCTTTAAATTATTCCATTGACAGCTCATTATATTGTTTACAAGCTTACAAAAGCATTTTGGTGAGAATTTTCCACAAAAAAAGTTATTCGTGATGAAATTCAAGCGTGATGGTGTGATTTCTTTATATTTGGCTGTAAAACCACAAGTGGCTATCGTTAGAGCACTCCAGCATTTAAATGAAAATAAATCTGTTGTGTCTCGTACCATCGCTCGTTACCGTGATACTGGTAACGTAGCCCGACGTCAAGGAAGTGGACGGAAGAAAACAGCCACATCAGCAGAAATGGTTCGAAAAGTAAAGAATCGACTTTATCGAAACCAGCGTCGCAGTGGCCGAAAAATGGCTCGTGAGCTGAACATATCGCAATATTCCATTAGTCAGATATTGAAAAATGATCTCGGGGTAAAGCAATTGAAATTCCAACAAGTAAAAATGTATCGGTCGGTTTTGCCGACAAATGTATACCCTCAGCCAATGTTCGATTATTTAAAAATATTTTTACTTCGGTTATGATTATTCAAATGTTTACCCCCTTATGCAGTAGGTTCCGAAGGTATGTGCCAGGATTGGCCATTTCGTATCGGACCGAAATAAATATGATATAAATATTGCGACGTGCTAGGTTTGGACTGTGTTGATTGGGATGTACAGTGTCTTGAATGGAATCGGATGTCGGCTTTTTATAAACTTCATGGATATTCAAAATTTTGAAATTTTGTGTGGGAGGTACCAGAAGGTGTGGACCGATATATCCCATCTTCACAACGGATCTTTTGTTAGTGGAAATAATGGGATGTGTGAAATATAAAGAGAACCAAATGCTTATTTCGGATTTTATAAACGTTTTGGTTGTTCAAAACTTAGACCCGTTGTGGGGGACGTACCAGAATAATGGTCCGATCTCAACTATTTTTATTTACAGATCCTGTGTTGATAGAAATATTCAGATGTGCCAAGACATTAAAAATTTCGACCTTTTGTGCGGGAGGTACAAGAAGGAGTGGACCTATTTATTTCATCTTTACACCAGACTTTGGGTTAAAACAAATGTTGGGATGTGCGAAATTTGAAGACAATCGGACTCTTACATCACATTTTATGAGACTTGTAATTATTCAAAATTTTGACCATTTGTGAGGGAGGTACTTGATCAATATTGTCCATTCATGATTTCAGATTTGCAAAGTTGGAGCAAAATCGGATTTTCGTTTCTATTTTTGTGCAAAAAATATATTTTTTGAAAATTTCGACCATTTGTGGGGGTGGTATCAGAAGGAGTGGACCGACATATTCCATCTTTTCACCTGACTTTGGGTTAAAATAAATATTGGGATGTGTGAAATTTGAAGACAATTGGACTTTTACATCACATTTTAAGAGAGTTGTAATATTTCAAAATTTGGACCATCTATGGGGGAGGTACTTGATGGAGTGGGCCGATATTGTCCATTTTCATACCTGACGTAGCACTAACGCAAATATTATGATTTGCAAAGCTGGAGTAAAATCGGATTATCGTTTCTATTTATGTGCAGAAAATATATTTTTTTTGAAAATTTCGACCTTTTGTGGGGGAGGTACCAGAAGGAGTAGACCGATATTGCCCATCTCCGAACTCGATCTAAGTTTGACAAGTTTGGACCAAATCGGATACCGCCTTCGAGAGTTATCGTGCTCACCAGCCAGCCAGACAGACGGACGGACCGACATCGCTAGATCGACTCAATATGTTCCGAAACGGTTTGGGTCCAAAAAGACCTAGGCACGTTTTGTCCGTATCAAACGATATATACCCTCTGTAGTCATATGGCTGAGGGTATAAAAAGTGCAAGAGCTTACACCGCCACAGAAAGAAAATAGACTCAAAAGAGCTTCGCTTAACCGAAGGTGGTAAACCGCCGAATTTGGTTTTCTCCGATGAGAAAACATTCATTGTCTTGCAGTTTGTAAACAAACAAAATGATCATGTTTACTTGCCAACCTTCTGTTGGCCAACATAACTCAAGCGCCTACCATGGTGGTGGTATGGGCAGGAATAACAGCCGATGGTCGCTCCCCGCTCGTATTAATCGACCGTGGCATCAGAATTAATGCCGAATATTATTGCGAAAATATTCTGGATACACCCTTTCACCCTAAAGCCTTGGGCACGCAAACATTTTGGCCGCAGACCTTGGACATTCCAACAGGACTCAGTACCATCGCACTCAGCACGCACAATCCAAAATGAGGTTCCTCGCTTCATTTTCAGTGCACAGTGGACACCTAAATGTCTGGAGTATTTTGGAAAGCAAGGTTGGCACTAAAAAATACCAAAGTGCCGATCACCTCAAACAATCGCTTCGCTGGGAATGGGCTAAAATACCGCAGAGCAACATTCGGGCAGCGTGTTGCGGTTTCATTGACCGTTTGAAGGCCATAATTCGTGCCAATGGTGTTCAATTCGAACAAATCTAAACATATTCTGAAATGTATTGCTATTTACGTTATTTTTTGTTTTCATTCAATAAAATTAAAGAAAAAAATGTAAAAAGTATGGCGTTTGACTTTGTTACAGTTTTTTATCTCACTCTGTAGTTTAATGTTTCTGTACCCCGTAGTATTATAGGTCACCTGCTATTATGCTCTTGCCTATTTTATGTGTTTGGAAAGATTCGGTATTTTCGGAGCGTTTTTACTGCAATTTATTTTCATGTACCAATTGTTAAAAATACTTAGGTTAATTTCTCCTTTTAATTCATATCACATTATGTCTTTCCAAAATGGGTGGAAGGGCGAGAAGTTTAATACACGACCATCAAAACATGAATATCTAATGTTATTTGAAAACAAAAAAAAAGTTGTTTTAGAAAAAAACATAAAACCTGTCAGATTCAAATTGGAAAAGAGCACATATTTTGTTTTTATTTCAATTTCTTGAAAAGGGTATTAGAAATTTGAAAAAAAATAAAAATAAATTAAACTGAAAACACCATGCAACTGAAATAACATTCATGGATTACAAATTCCTTGAATTTCTTGATTTGTTTGTAAAGCCTATTATTCATACGTCCTTGTATTTTCGCCATCTTTCGTTTTTTTTTTTTCTGTTTTATAGGTAAATTGAATACTGATTTCAAACCTTTAAATATGCGCAACCATTCGCTGGTACTCAACTTGGCGACCGACATTGACGAGGGTTACTATATGTGTCAGGCCACGAATGATATCGGAGCGGGTCTTAAGAAAATTATACGCATCAATGTCAACGGTGAGTAGTATTTGGCCCTGTGACATCAATGAATGAATGAATAATACACGTGTCAGTCGGCCAGTCAGCCAGTGAGGCTGCCTACCTTGCACTGACACACACGCACACATACATTGAACGCGGAATATTTTGTAATTTTCCTCGGTATTCCATCTCTTCTTTCTATGTCTGGGCTGTGTTTTGCTGTGTTTTATATCTACTTGTGGTGACACTTTTGTGTACGTGTGTGTGCATGTCCCCCTGGTGTATGTGTGTGTGTCACATGTTAATTAAACAACAACAAAATGCAATGTGAAAACATGTCATACGGCGACAACAACAACCAACTACTGACACACATAACAACAACGAACAATTTTCACTCGATGACCTCAACACCACTTCACCCCCTTTCCACCCGCCATTAATCCATTGTGTTGTGTGATGGGATTCTACGGCACAGAACCTGCACGTTTCGAACAAACATCACGCAACGTCTCGTCGCGCCGTAATGATGCTGTCACACTCGACTGTCATGCCAAAGGTGATGAACCCATTAGTGTCGCCTGGACTCACAACAATGCACGCATTGATTTGAATAATTTCCGCTTTAGCATAGCGGAAATGAAAACCGAAAAGGGTGTTGACTCTCAACTGACCATATCACGTTCGGATCGTCACGATTCGGGTATTTATAAATGTGTTGCCGAGAATCCATATGGTCGGGCTGAACAAATCATCTATCTGGCGGTGCAGGAGCGGCCAGATACACCCTCTAATCTGGATGTATTTGAAGTTGGTTCGAGAACAGTGAAATTATCTTGGCGTCGGCCATTCGATGGCAACTCCCCGGTGTTGTCGTATTTGGTGCAATATCAACCACTGAAATATTTGCAATCTCATACGGCATTGGGTTTGGCTGGCAGTGATTGGAATGGTCCGAACATCATCAATGTAACGCTGCCATCGACAAGCATAAGCAAGAGGTAAGTTTGTTTTTCTTGCCACCCATCCACAGCCTCGGCGACATTGTCCTTTTCTTGGCATATCTAATTTTTATCCTGTCTTCTCTATTTTCGCTTCCAACTTCCTTATTTTTTACAACGTCATATTTTGTGTTGACAGCTATGACAGCGACTTACGTGAAAGTGCCATTGTATCGGGTCTGACACCAGCCACCACCTTCCTGATCCGTATGCAGGCCATCAATGAAATTGAACGCAGCCCCTTTACCGAACCAATCGTCTTGAAGACCCAGGAGGAAGCCCCCACCGAAGCGCCGTCAAATGTTCAGGTGCAGACTGGTGGCGAAAGTGAATTGATTGTCACTTGGCAGGTAAGTTAGTTAAGAATGGCGTGTCGTTGGACACAAACGCACACAGATACTCGTATCACGGTGTCCTTTGATCACCTAACACATTTTCTTGGACAATTTTCTTGACATTTAGGGTGAGAAAAATGGAAAAAAGAAAAACTCTTTGTCGTAGTAAATAAAATTAACCAGAAAGTGACATTTATTATTGGATGGGTGACCAGGAAAATATGAAAAACTGAAAAAGTGTGGCTAATAAAGGATAAAAAATAACGGTTGGAAAACAGAATAATTGTGGGATTTGAAAGTCAATTGATACAACATTGGGTCGGAAAATACATACTTTTTAAAAGTTTATGTATTATTGTTGTTGTTTCCGTCCCTCAGCAGTTACTAGTGTTGACTATTGTTAGTTGACCAACCATTTGACGTCCTTTATCTAAGACCTTTCTGGTATCTAATATAAACTTTTAAAATGAGAACTCAAAAATTTCTTGGGCTTTGATCAACATATAATACTCCACATGTAATTTGCCACGCCATACAGACTAAATTTTTTCTAAATGAGATGTCGAAGTTATAATTTGGGAAAAAAATATGAACATATAATTACACTGGGCAACAAAACTTATTTATTTTTTAATAAATACGGGAACGGGTTATGAGAGTTGAAATAAATACAATTAAAAAAGCAGCTAAGTTCGGCCGGGCCAAACTTTTAATATCCTCCACCATTTAAAGGAATCTGAAATTTTTCAAAAAAAAAAAAAAAAAAAAAAAAAAAAATCCGAAAACTACCACTTAAATGAAACCGTTATATGGGGACTATACGTAAGACGTGGATCTGCATACGAAATTTGTCATAGACTGTAGTACCCATTACGAACTTTAAATACGAAATTTGTTACAATTACGGAGAATGATGTCGCAAAAGTCATGAAAATACTGAGTATCGGGAGGTATCGTCATATGGGGGCTATACGAAGACTTGGACTTGCCTACAACAATTTTTTTCATAGAAAAATTTAAAATATTTTCGGTGAATAATCAATAATCCTCCATAAAATGGTGGAGGGAATCGAAAAATAGAAGACATGTGTATATTTCCGATGAATAATCAAAAATGTACCCCCATAAAATGGTGGTAGGTATAAAAGTAGAAGACACGTGTATCGAGTATCACAGTGGAGTGAGCTTTCCAAAAACGGAGATTAATTCAGGACAGCATTCTATCGCCCTGAAATGTTGCTCAGACATTTATATTACTCCTGGTATGTTTGGTATTAAAAATGGGGCATATCGGACCACGTTGCTTCCAAATTTTCGGTATTTTAAACATTTTGACCAAAATTTCAAACTAAACCATGTGTGGTTTTACATTTAGAGTTCTGAGTAGATGTAATCTCTTCGCGCTAAAACTTTTCAACATTGCTCCAGTATTTGGTGTAGACCCCATTTTACTTTACCTCCTATTTTTCGGTATTTTAAAGGTTTCGGCCACAATTTTAAACCCAATCATGAGTAACTAGACAGTTTGAGTTCTGAGCTGAAAAAATCTCATAAGAACTACGAAAAATGCCAATATTTATATGCTATTCTATTTTCAGCAAAAAGTTAAGCCGGAAAAAATTGTCCTTTAAAAAATCTGTTTCGAAAAAGACTTTATATTTTTATTAAAATGGAATAATAATAAAAAAATTATAAAAAACTGTTTTTAAGATGGTCCGATATTGTCCATTTTCGCATCCGACCTAGCACTGATACAAAAAAAATATTGGGATTTTCAAAGCATGCATAAAATCGAAAAAACCTTTTTCCCTCTGTGAGGTAGATTATTTTCTTTGAAAATTTTGATCTTTTTTGAGATATATATATGTTCAATATCGGTACATGTTTCTACATAAACTCAATTTACTGGCTACAAATGATTTTGGGTTCTAAAGATCCGAGCCACATATTTTTCGAATGTTTTAACCGTATATTCTAAATAAATTAGCTTCAATCGAGTTTTTTTGGTTGGGAAAGCGTGGAGGATTTTCTCGCAACGAAAAACACTGCAACAATCAAACGCCATCATTTTTACATTTTTTTAATTTTATTGAATAAAAGCAAAAAATATCGGAAATATCATAAAATTTTAGAATAAGTTTAGATGTGTTCGAATTGGTCACCTTTGGCACGAAATTGCCTTCAAGCGGTCAATGAAACCGTCACACGCAGCCCGGTATTTTGGCCCATTCTCGACGGAGCGCTTACTTGAGGTGATCGACACACACTAGTCCAACGGATTGGTATCCAGAGATTTTGGTGGCCATTGTGCTCTGGAATTAAAGCAAGGATCCTCACTTTGTAACCATTCTTGGGTGGCGCGTGCTGAGTGCGATGGTGCTGAGTCCTGTCCTCTTTAGACTCTTTTGAGTCTATTTTCTTTCTGTTGCGGTGTAAATTCTAGCACTTTTTGGAATTTCAATGGCTTTACCCCGAGCTCATTTTCCAATATTTGCCGGAGTATTGCGATATGTTCAGCACAAGAGCCATTTTTCTGCCACTGCGACGCGGGTTTCAATCAAGTCGCTTCTTTACTTTTCGAACCATTTCTGCTGATGTTGCTGTTTTCTTCTGTCCACTTCCTTGACGTCGGGCTACGCTACCAATATCACGGTAACAAGCGATGGTACGAGATACAAAAGAAGTTGGTTGCCGGCATCATAAAAATTTGTCACGCCCCATACCTCATAAGTTTTGAACGTGGACTTGGAAAGTGTATAAATTTCAATTATATCTATTTCAGAACATTTTGATTTGATTTAGCTGTGGTGCCCACGATAACTCAAATTAGATGTCAACGATTTTGTCGAAATTGTAAGTTCTACTAAGAATATGTTAAGAACCAAAGAGGACCACATCGGCCCACTCATCTCATATGTCCCATTTAAATTTGAAAAAATTATTTTTACCACGTGTAGAGAAGAGAGAAAATGTCAAATGTTTTGGCAAAACTCGTTATTACCTATAAATTTACTATTTTGAATATTTTTTTTTACACATTAGCATTGTTCTAACTGCTAAGGTATGAGGCGTATATCAGCTTCTATTGAAAGAATGGGCTGCAATAATTTTTTTGGTTTTGGTAAGTCTATCGACTTATAATTTTTATAATTCGACAACATCCGTTCACAACGTGTCCAAAATATCAAATATAGGTTGATGTATTTAAAATTTATCTGAATTGAGATGTACTTACTGCGGAACGTTTTAAATTTAATATTTTCTCGTTCCACATAACAATTATATATTTTGAAATCATTTTAAAATATTATTGTCTTGCAAAAATGTCACGCATTTTAAATTGCTAATTTATACATAAATAATAAATCCCAAATAAAACATCATTAACATTAACGACGAAACACGCAACAAGTTTATTTTACTCAACCCTTTTATTGTACTCATTTTACAAAATTGAGACACAAATGACACAGCAACCCATTGTACAATTAACCTCGATGTTTGAATAAATATTCTCAGTGGACGTTTGCAAACATTTAGCCGAAGTAATAAACCTCTTAACATCAAATCAAATATTCTCTAAAAACCCTAATCCCAAATGGCAACAATTTAAATATTTAAAGATCCGAAAAGTCACGACGAACGGGAGGAGGGACACGATAATGGGGGGGGGGGGGGGGAAGTCGTAAGCGAAAAGACGCTGACATAAAATGTAAAATGAATAATTTATCACATTACCACATGGAAATGGCAAAATGACTCAGACTCATTTCCATTATGAACTCGCAGAAATCGAAGGAGAGCGAAAGGGAATCCAAAAAAAAGGGCAAGGTGCCAGCAAATTTCGTCTTCTTCTTAAAATGGAATGTTCAAAGTTTGCCACACAGACGATCCAAGAATTTCCACCAAACAGGGAGAGAAGTGCAGGCCAAGGAACATCATTCACTTGAGACAGTTAATATTTTAGACTGCCAGCACCTGAGCTAAAAATTATCTCGTTTATATTCTGCTGTTCGTAGTTAGTTAGTTAGTTCGTCAATGGCGGGAATGAGGGTGGTTGGGAGGAAGTTGAGTGCCAAAGACAAAATGCAAAAACCACTTGTTACATTTTTTGACCTGAAATTTATTCCGAAATAAATTATAATTCATAGAACGGGGTCAAGGACTGTGATAGGGCAGAGTAGGGACAGTTCATTAAAAGTATTAGATTCGTGGTATTGAATTTGTAAATATAATTATGTGTTTGGTAAATATGGGTCAACAATTCAAAAGGTCTAATAGCATTTTTATGGTTAATGATGAGGGGAGGATATTAATTGTAAGAGAGCAATGCCGTGTTTGGGTATTTAAGGACACAGATAAGAAATGTTAAAAAATGAACAATTACAAATAAAAACCAGTAAAGAAAGCCTTAAAGTCGGGCGGGGCCGACTTTATGATACCCTACACCACTTTGCTAATTTAGTAGAGCTGCGCATAACAATTAAATTTTTATGGGAGAATTCAATCATACACGTTATGATTATAATTATAATTTAAAGTTCAAAGAACTAAATATGCCGAAGCATTTGTGTCTTTTAAATTCGGACTTGTATTGCCCATTTGGTGCACAATTAATTTGAAATCGGAAAAAAATATATATGGGAGCTATATCCACATCGGAACCGATCTCGATAAAATTTGGCAAAGATATTTCTGAGCTGTATTTGATATATTTCCCTGAATATCGTTATTGCGGAGTGCATATTACGGCTGTGGGTAACAAATATGACAAATCGGATGAACAGTATATATGGGAGCTATAGCTATATCTGAACCGATCTTCACTAAATTTGACATACTCTAGACTCAATTCGTTCGTAAGTGCCAAATTTCATCCAATTTGGGCAAATATTAGACGTTTGGTGCACAATCAAATTTAAATCGTACGAAGTTATATATGGGAGCTATATCCAAATCTGAACCGATCTGTAGTTGATAAATTTCCCAAATATTTTTGTTACAGAGTGCATATTACGGCTGAGGAGGACAAAAATAACAAATCGGATGAACAATATATATGGGAGCTATAGCTACATCTGAACCGATTTCGATAAAATTTGGCATACTTATTTTGAGGTCCAATCTGATCGTACGGACTGATATTACACGTTTGGTGCACAATAAAAGGGAAATCGGACGAAGATATATATGGGAGCTATATGTAAATTTTGACCGATTATCTCCAATATGAATAGGGTTCGTCCTTGGGCCAAACAAATGATTTCTGCAAAATTTCATCTGGATAGGGCAATAAATGCGAACTGTACTTTGTTTACAAAAATACATGGGCAGACGGAAAGACGGACGGACGGACATGCATAAATCGACTTGTAGAATGTGATTCTATGAAGATTCTCAAAATAACTATGGGTCTATCCTGCTTCCTTCTTCCTGTTACAACAAATGCTCAAAGATATAATAGCCTTACCGCTATTTGATGTAGGGTATAAAAATATAGACTTTGTGTGGTTCCAAAGCAGAATCTCAAAATATCAAAATAATAAAGTCTTTTGGAAAATTTCTATACCTTTTCGTCATAGCTGGGCGGTTTTTTTGTATTGTCATATGTGGTCCAAATCGACCAATTCATCCCATTTACCCAATTTCAATATTACTTTAACTGATTACCCTCTTTATTTTAATATCTCAACAATTTACACATACACAACTTCAATCGCCACACAGCGATTTTTTTTTTTGCTTTTTCTCACCGTTTTTCTTCTTCTTCTTCTTTTTGTTTTTACAGATACCACCACGAGAATCGTGGAACGGTGAACTGATTGGCTACACCGTCAACTGTAGCGAGGAAAAACAGAATATCAACTACATTAGCGTTGTCAATAATTCACTGAAGTCTGTGATTGTAAGTGGCTGGGCCACAACGAAGGCCACATTACGTGGCTTGCGAAAGTATACCCGGTATGCGGTTACGGTGCGAGCCTTGAATAGTTTTGGTTCGGGGCCGTGGAGTACGCCCATCTTTGGGACAACATCGGAGGGAGGTAAGTGTAGAGAGGAGTGTGGTTGTTGGCAAAAAAAAACAAAAATCGGGGATAAAAAGTGCAGAGTATTCGCGGACATCGACGACGACGGTGACTACGACGAGGTGTAGATGTGAGCATACACCTCTCACTTTAGCGTAAATAAAAACATAATAAGTGGCAGAAGGAATCCTTGGCAGACAGACAGTTTGAGTCTGTCTGCCTGCCATGGTCTGTTCACTCATTCTCCCACTCGCCGACTGCTTTCCAATTTAACTGCATGCTCACCTTCGCAGTTGTGTTGAAGGTAACAGCTGTACAAATTGTTATCTTAATAACAACAAACATTAAAAATGCTTTTAGTGTCGTCGTCGTTGTTATGTGCTATTTTTATCACAATTCTTCTTGCATTTTTTCCTTCTTGGTCTCTTAGCTTTGCTTTGGTATTTTCTTTATTTTGTTTTTTTTTTTTTTTGGTGGGTTATATTTGTGCCACACAAAATATAAACTGTCGGAAGAGCTTTCATGTATTATAGAATATACCGGTCTCATATATCTTCCCGCGGAATGGTGTATGTTTCTCTGTATGTGTATCAAAAAACGTATTTATACTTTTAGACAATTCGTAAATGGCCTCAAGGCATTATATGTTCCTTGTGTGCGGACACAAGCGTATGCCGGTGTGCCGGCTATTTGTATTTTTGTTAATGGTTGGTTGGATATTAAAACCATTTATTCCAATGTAGAATGACGCATAAAAGTGGTTTAAGGGACTCGAATGATGTGATTAAATTTAATAACTTAAAAGTTGACTTAGTAATGGTAATAAAAAAACAAGAACACAAACGGTCGTAGGATAAATATGACCTAGAGTGTATTAAATAAATGGAATTTGTAAATGATAATATATTTTTCTTGGATATTAGTTTTTTTTTTGTAGCAATATGGGATATTATGACTTACTGGCTCAATTTAAAATACGACATTTTTTAAGTTGTTATTTTTTAAAGTTTGGACTTAAGCTCAAATTTTTTTTGCAAAACCATTGTTGAGATATTGAAAAGATGACCTAAATGTTCATAAACTGGTGAAAATACAATGAAATTTCCGTCCCTCCGTTATTTATGTGTCAATGAAAATATGATGACGATTTTCAAAAATTGTATCGACGTTTCGCATAGTGAAGGCTTCTGAAAAATTTTAAGTTCTGTCTTGTAATCAGAAGAACAATTGAGATGTGTATAATTTGTGGCAAATTCGAAAAAAAAAATAGAAATTAAATTATACTGTGTAAAGATTGAACATTAACGGCTTCTCAATTCGCATCAAATGAGTTTTTTTTATACCCTCCACCATACTATGGAGGATATACTAACTTTGTCATTCCGTTTGTAACTCCTCGAAATACTATATTCTTGATCAGCGTAAAATTCTAAATCGATTTAGCCATGTCCGTCTGTCCGTCCGTCTGCCTATTGTAATCACGCTATCTTTCGAACGAAATGAGATAGAAGGCTAAAATTTTGCACACGTGTTTATTTTTCCAGTAGGCAGGTTAAGTTCGTAAATGGGCCATGTAGGTCCACGTCTTCGTATAGCCCCCATATAACGGTACCTCCCGATATTCGGTATTTTGATGATTTTAGCGTCATTATTCAACGGAATTGTTTCAAATGTTGGTATTTGTGATTCGTAATAGATACTACAGCCTATGACAAAAAATGTCTGTGCAGGTCCACGTCTTCGTATAGCCCCCATATAACGGTACCTCCCGATATTTGGTATTTTGATGATTTTAGCGTCATTATTCAACGGAATTGTTTCAAATGTTGGTATTTGTGATTCGTAATAGATACTACAGCCTATGACAAAAAAATGTCTGTGCAGGTCCACGTCTTCGTATAGCCACCATATAACGGTACCTTCCAAAATTCGGTATTTTGATGAGTTTAGCGTCATTATTTAACGGAATTGTTTCAAATTACGTATTTAGAGTTCGTAATGGAAACTACAGTCTGTGACAGAAAATTGTCTATGCAGGTACAGGTCTTCGTATAGGCCCCATATATCAGTACCTCCCTATATTCGGTAGGTACAATACCCACCTAAATTTTTTGAGATGTCGTATTTGAAGTTCGTTATGGATGCTATAGAAACAGAAAATTGTCTATGCTGGTCTAGATCTTCGCACAGCTCCGATATAACCGTACCTCCCTATATACGATATTTTGATGATTTTAGCCACATTATTCACCATTTATTTCAAGTTTCGAATTTCAATATGGTAATGGCTTATGACAAACAAGGTCTATGTAGGTCCATGTCGTATAGACCCTAATATAACAGCTATATTCGGTATTTTTAAAATTTTAACAGAATTTTTAAGGACTTTATTTTTTGAAAATTTCCAAATTCGTTCCAAATGGTAGAGGGTATTGAAAGTTCGGCCCGGCCGTACGTTATCTTTACATTCCGTTGGTAACTCTCCGAAATGCTCTTGTTTAATATGCGCAAATAGATCATGTATTAGGTCGTTTTCCAGCCCCCATTTTACGGTTCCTTTCGATATTCGGTATTTTGACGATTTAGATTACATTTTCTAACAGAATTGTTTACAATTTGATACTTTGAATTCGTAACAAGGCACCTACCGATAGTCGGTATTTTAAGAATTTAAGTCATATTTATAAACTAAATTTTTTAAATTCGATTCAAAGATTTCACAATGCGTTTAACCGCTTGTGGTAAAATATCGCCTGCATAGATAAACATTTTCCAGCAGCACCTATACAGGGTGAGATAAACAAAAAACTGCAACCAACTTCAGACTGCTGTCATTTTTAAGCCATTCGTGCGACAGCTGTTAAAATTATTCCAGTGACAGCTCATTATATTGTTTACAAAAGCATTTTGGTGAGAATTTCCCAGAAAAAAAGTTTTTCGTGATTGAATTCAAGCGTGATAGTGTGATTTCTTTATATTTGGCTGGAAAACCACAAGTGGCTATCGTTAGAACACTTCAGCATTTAAATGTGAATAAATATTTTGTGTTTTGTACCATCGTTCGTTAGTGCGATTCTCTGGTAGCGCAGCCCGATGTCAAGGAAGTGGACGGAAGAAAACAGCAACATCAGCAAAAATGGTTCTTAAAGTAAAGAAGCGACTTGATCGAAACCCACGTCGCAATGGCCGAAAAATGGCTTGTGAGCTAAACATATCGCAATATTCCATTCGACAATATTAAAAAATGTACTCGGGGTAAAGCCATTGAAATTCCAAAAAGTGCAAAAACTTACACCGCAACAAAAAAAAATAAACTCAAAAGACCTAAAGAGTTGCTTCGCTTGACCGAAAGTGATGCCGAATTTGGTTTTTTCCGATGAGAAAACATTCGTTTTCCAGCAATTTGTAAACAAACAAAATGATCGTGTTTACTTGCCAAAGAGGTCAGCTGAAAATGTGCACCTTCGGTGGGCCACCAGAATTCAAGGGCAGGCCATGGTGATGGTGTGGGCCGCCATAACAACCGATGGTCGCTCTCCGCTCGTATTAATCGACCGTGGCATCAGAATAAATACCGAATATTATTCCGAAAATATTCTGGAGGGTGTGTTAAAGCCTTGGGCACGAAAACATTTTGGCCGCAGACCTTGGACATTCCAACAGGACTCAACACCATCGCATTCAGCACGCGCCACCCAAGAATGTTTTCAAAATAAGGTTCCTCGCTTCATTTCCAGCACACAATGGCCACCAAAATTTCCAGATACCAATCCGTTGGACTATCGTGTCTGGAGTATTTTGGAAAACAAGGTTGGCACCAAAAATATCACCTCAAGTAAGCGCTTCGCCGGGGATGGGCCAAAGTACGGCAGAGCGATATTCGGGCAGCGTGTGACGGTTTCATTGGCCGTTGGAAGGCCATAATTCGTGCCAGAGGTGACCAATTCGAACAAATCTAAACGTATTCTAAAATTTTATGCTATTTCCGATATTTTTTCTTGCATTCAATAACATTTAAAAAAAAAAAATAAAAATTATGGCGTTTGAATTTGTTGCAATTTTTTAAGCTCACCCTGTATATACACGTTGTGGGGTCTTCGATGAATGTTTGGGGGTGTTACAGATAAAATGGAAAAAATAATATGTTCTTTATTTTCTGGTAACTGGTATCAAAAATAAAATTTGTTCTGCTACCTCATATACAGGGTAATTTTTTTGAAAAATCATGTACAGGGTTGCCCATATTCAACGGACCCATGACTCTTTGGGCCCATTCCAATCGACGAGGCTTGTCCGCAGGCAACATTCTTTGCGTCAATTGAATTTTGTACGGGAACAAATGCAAATCAATGCGAATAATCCGTGGTAAAGTGGACCGAGCCATGCCCAACTTCTGAGAACGGCGTTTTTGGGATGTTCTTGGGGACCTCTCAACACTGGCTCGTACGGCAGCGATATTCTCGGCCGATCGCCTTGGTCGGATTTTATATATGGCCTCTTCGGATTAGAAAGTGCCTTACCAGTCGAAAATTTTTCGTATAAACGCTTAATGGTGTTCTTAGAAGGCGCACTTCTCACATTTTTTAATGTTTTAAAAGCACGTTGAGTTTTCACAATTGACTTCTTCTGTTAAATTTAAATTTCAACTATTTCAGAGCGCTCGCGTGTCGTGTATTGGTTCATGGTAAAAATCTGCTTGGACTGACGCTTCAAACGCGGTATGTCATTGAGCGATGTGTTATCTCTGTCAAAAGTTATGGCGTTGCCAGATGGATCCGTCGAATATGGGCAACCCTGTAGGAGTTTGAACAAAATGGGATGACCATTTCTCTTTCAATGTGGAAAAGTATATTCTTTGAAAATGTTGACCTTTTTTTGAAGGGTACGTGAAGGAGAAGGCCGCTATTACCCACCTCAGAGCTTGATCTAAATTTGATGACAATTTTGGAAGAAATTTGATAGTATATTAATTTGTTAACGTGTCCAACAGAGGGAATGACGTACATCGATCTAGCCAAGTCGATCTAGCCTCCAAATATCCTGCAAAAGACCTATAGTCTAAGCCCGATTAGGTGCGTTTTGTCCTACATTTTTGCTCACGCCTCATGTAGTCATAATTTCTTAGGATTGAAGTGGCACATATCTCTTGGAACACCCACTCATACTACCTAATTTTATATATATATATATATATATATATATATATATATATATATATATATATATATATATATATATATATATATTTAACAAAATTTGTAATTATAAACAATACAAAATGCGCCTCGAATTCGTTTTACTCAAATATCCAACGTAAAGTTTCCCCTTTGTTACATTTGAAAACCACAGTCCACCTACTAACGTTAATTCACTGAGTGACATATAATTTTTAACTACATATACTATATTCTCTTTTTGTTCTTTTCCTTTTTCTCTTTTCATACTTTTTTGGCGGGCCCTTTCCATCTATCTCTCCAACGTTAATGCACATTTTACAGTGCCGGAAGCAGCACCGCAACATGTCAACTGTACCGCATTATCGTCACAAAGTCTAAAAGTGTCCTGGTTGGAGCCACCATTGCAATTTCACGGTGGCATAATTCAGGGCTATAAAATTTTATATCGGCCGATTGTGAATCAGAGTGAGTACTACTTAAACTTTAAGTGTATATCTATGTGTGTATGTGTATGTGTATCTGTATAGTATGTATTTTAGTTCATGAAAATGTATTTATGTTTATGTACGGCAATTTGTACAAAGTGCAGTTACAAATTTGTAACCGGTTATAACTGTTCATATTTTGTTTGTTTTTATATTTTTTGTCATTGGCCTTTTTTTTTAAGGTTCCGTTGTTATTTTGTCTTTATTGTCAATTGAAATAAACTTGCATTATACTCTTTAGTACCAACTGTCATCATGTTGAGGAGGGCGATTGTGTACAAATGGTGGTGGATAGGTGAAACATGAAGTATGTGGATGGGAGAAATTAAAAAAAAAACAGTAAAGAAAGTCTTAAAGTCGGGCGAGCCGAATTTGTGATGCCCTACACCACTTTGCTAATTTAGTAGAGCTCCACATAACAATTAGAAGTTTTTATGGGAGAATTCAATCATACACGCTATGATTACAATTTAAAGTTCAAAGGACTAAATATGCCGAAGCATTTGTATCTTTTAAATTCGGACTTGTATTGCCCATTTGGTGCACAATTATTTTGAAATCGGATAAAGATATATATATATAATATAAAATTTGGCAAATAAATTTCTGAGCTGTATTTAATATATTTCTGTGAATATCGTTGTTACGGAGTGCATATTACGGCTGTGGGTAACAAATATAACAAATCGGAAGAACAATATATATGAGAGCTATATCTATATCTGAATCGATCTTCACCAAATTTGACATACTAACTTCTAGACTCATTTCGGTCGTAAGTGCAAGTGGACAAATATTAGACGTTTGGTCACACTAAAAAAAGTAAATCGGACGAAGTTATATATGGTAGCTATATCCAAATCTGAACCGATTTTGTTAACATTTAGCAAATGTATTTCGGAGCTGGATTTGATATATTTCCTCAAATATTGTTGTTACAGAGTGCATATTACGGCTTCGGAGGACAAAAATAACAAATCGGAAGAACAATATATATGGGAGGTATAGCTATATCTGAACCGATTTCGATCAAAATTGGCATACTTATTTTTGTATGTGCAAAATTCCATACTATTCGGGCTGATATTACACGTTTGGTGCACAATAAAAGACAAATCTGACGAAGATATATATGGGAGCTATATCTAAATTTTGACCGATTATCTCCAATTTCAATAGGGTTCGTCCTTGGGCCAAACAAATGATTTGTGCAAAATTTCATCTGGATAGGGTAATAAATGCGAACTGTACTTTGTTTACAAAAATACATGGACAGACGGACGGACGGACATGCTTAAATCGACTCAGAATGTGATTCTATGCAGATCATCAAAGGGAATTATGGGTCTATCTCGTTTCCTTTTGCCTGTTACAAACAAATGCACAAATACATAATACCCTGACCACCTTGTGTTGTAGGGTATAATAAGAAACAGTGTGGGCGAAGGCAAAGGCATTGTAATGTTGTAAAGTTTTATAAAGGGCACATGAGTGAATATAGCAAGGCCTTTGTTCTGAATCGTCATTGACATAAGTGCGTGTGATTCATTTAGATCAAGGCTTGTGTTTTAAAATTGATCCTGGTCGTGACCAATGTTTTCAAGCAATGTCCATTAAAAATGTGTTCTAACCTTGTAAATTTTAATAATAGAATTTTTGTAAAAAATCTCAATTTTACCTTTTCCAAGAATAAGCTTTTCATAGGTATCCATATTGTGCCGGCAGAATTGTCCTGGAAGGCATATTGGCCAATGGAGTTATCCTGTTTCAAGGATACCTCCAGAAATGATCATATACCTCGAAATTGGCCGGAACTTCCTATAATTTTCTTAATGCCAATGGATAGTAGACTTCGCAAGCTTTCCATAGGTATCCATATTGTGCCGGCAGAATTGTCCTGGAAGGCATATTGGCCAATGGAGTTATCCTGTTCCAAGGATACCTCCAGAAATGACCATATACCTCGAAATTGGCCGGAACTTCCTATAATTTTCTTAATGCAAATGGATAGTAGACTTCATAAGCTTCCGTAGTAATTAGATGGATTATGTTATCTCAATACTTCTGAATTCAGCCTGGAAGAAAGTGTGTCAAATTGGTGAAAATCAAGTTTACAAATCCCATTTATGTTTCTATCTATTTAGTATTTAAGACCCTCACACCCCGTAAATAGCTCTCTAAAACAAAAAATATTTAGTGTCAGCTATCGGAGACACCATACAAATATCTCTTCTAAATTTTATAGAGATCGGTTCAGTTTTAGATATAGCTATTATATATATCTTAATCCAATTTTATGTTTATTGTTCACCAAAAGAGTAGTAAAATGGAATAGATTTTTGGGTAAAAATCAGAGTCGGTTTAGATATAATCCGATATATGTTTAAATCTAAGGGTACTCAAAGTCGATAGGCACAAAAGTTTATCACTTGTTTACTTGTTATATGGGACATAAATATAGGCCAGTATGTGGAACTACCAACACCACTCATTTTAGTAGCAATACAATCCCTGCAGCAAATTCCATAAAAATATATGGGCAAATATATGGGCAAAATATTCTATGGCAAAGGATACAATACTTTTTTTGTTCTCCAAATGCATCAAAATCATAGCTAACAAGTTAAAAAGCAGTAAGTTCGGCCGGGCCGAACTTTTAATACCCTCCACCATTTGCAACGAATTTGGAAATTTTCAAAAAATAAAATCCTTAAAAAATTAAATTAAAAAAATTATTAAATTTTTAAAAATACCGAATATAGCCGTTATATTGGGGTCTATACGACGTGGACATACATAGACATTGTTTGTCATAAGCCATTACCATATTCAAATTCGAAACTTGAAATAAACGGTTAATAATGTAGCTAAAATCATCAAAATATCGTATATAAGCAGGTGCCGTTAAATTGGATCTGTGCGAAGACCTGGACCAGCATAGACAATTTTCTGTCACAGGCTGTAGCATCCATTACGAACTTCAAATACCACATCTCAAACAATTCCCGTGAATAATGTCGCTAAAATCATCAAAATACCAAATATAGGGAGGTACCGTTATATGGGAGCTAAACGAAGACGTGGACCTGCACAGACAATTTTCTATCTTAGGGTGAAGTATCCATTTCGAACTTTAAATATCAAATTTTAAATTACTTCCGGGAAAAAGGTAGCTAAAATCATCAAAATACCGAATATCGTGAGGTACCGTTATATGGGGGCTATACGAAGACATGGACCTGCACAGGCAATTTTCTACCTTAGGGTGTAGTATCCATTTTGAACTTCAAATACCGAATTTTAAATTACTTCCGGGAAAAAGGTAGCTAAAATCATCAAAATACCGAATATCGTGAGGTACCGTTATATGGGGGCTATATGAAAACGTGGACCTACATGGCCCATTTACGAACTTAACCTTCCTACTAGAAATATAAACATGTGTGCAATATTTTAGCCATCTATCTCAATTCATTCGAAAGATAGTGTGATTACAACAGACAGACGGATATCGGTAAATCGACTTATAATTTAATTTTTTTTATTGTTGGGCCTGACATGAGTATTTTGAGGAGTTACAAATGGAATGACAAAGGTAATATACCCTCCATAGTATGGTGGAGGGAATTAAAATAGACAAAAGTAGAGCTAATGCAGTTCAAATAAATACCATATACTTGATTTGACGAATTTGAGATATTTTTGAAATCCAGCCAAATACAAATTTCATGTCATGTGAACTGTCAGTTTTTGCACTGTATTACCACAAGCGGCACACGGAATATCTGCCATCGTTGTAAAATTAACATATTATTTTTAGTTATCGATATACCTGTCATTTACCTTTTTTCCCATGAAAGCTTCTCACCGAGTATAACTTGTCAAAGTTAAAGTGAATAGCTATTATTAAAAGTATATACTTTTCCAAAAATCCCCCGAATAAAATTCATATGTAAAATATTTCCTCGAAATGCTCTCATTAGCATTTCACTTGATATATACCATATACCATATACATTTGACATTCACTTCTACTGCTCATATTTGTGTGTGTGCTTGTATGTTTACATCTATCTTCTCATTTGATTGATCCTTTTGAGTTCTATGGCTTGCCACGATTCGTTTTCATATTTTATATCGTTGTTGTGTTTGCCGTATGGATTTGTGGTTGAAATGTTGCGGTATGCAATTTTGTGTGTAACTCGTTCATGTTTAAAATGTTTGCATTTATTTTTTGTTTTTTTTTTTTTTTTAGTTTAGGTCAAATAAAAATTTTATAGAAAAACAGTGGTTTGTTTATTCTAGAGAGGTCGTGATTCCAAACAGTAACAAAAAAAATTGTTGTGTCTGAACCTTTTGAATTTTATTTATTTGGTTTTTTAGAAAACAGGACATGTTATTTTTATAAATTATCTAATGGAATTGGGATGGAAAATAATAAAATATTTTAAACACACATCAATAAATAACAGGGTCATTAAAAATAAGAAAATTGGGAAACTTGTAGGCGATTATTGGTACTAATATTTCATAATAGCTGATTATTTATTTTATTGTGAAGGTAGTTTTTATCTGTTGTATAAAATTTTACAATAAATATAGTGTTGACGTTTATTTTGGGATACCGTAGTTCTTATTTCATATTCCGTTTAAGCCCTTAAAATAATCACGTTAGACCCTGCAAAGTAATATAATTTTGATCTAAGTCGAATTTACGATGTCCGTCTGTTTGCCCGAACGAGCTGGTTATGTTCAATATATTCTCTTAAGTTTTTCTACATTGGTCTTAGGCCGGGGCTTAATATTTACTCCTCTGAATATGTCCAACACCAGCTACGCGAACTCAATTTTCTTCTTCAAAATGTTATACTCCTTTTAAGCAGCCAACCGGATATTGGATAGGTATTTTCATTAGCTTTCAAATGATACCATATCTGTTTAGTAGGTCCGGGTCTAACCTGGGCCTTGGACCCGGACTTTTGGGTCAAATATCCGGATCCGTCCCCCACGAAAAACTACTTTCCCGGGATCAGGGTGCAAATACCTACCTCTGGAAAAAATTACAAGAAAAAAATCTGACAGATTTTATTACACTAGAGTTAAGATGAAAACCTACAACCAAGTCAAACGCCATAGTTTTGACGCCATAAATTTTATTGAATGAAAGCAAAAAATGTCGGAAATACAATCAAATATTAGAATACGTTTAGATTTGTTCGAATTGGTCACCTTTGACACGAATTATGGCCTTTAATTGGCCAATGAAACCACCAAACGTTACCCGAATGTTGCTCTGCGGTATTTTGGCACATTCCAGGCGAAGCGTGAGGTGATCGACACTTTGGTATTTTTTAGTGCCAACCTTGATTTTCAAAATACTCCAGACACAATAGTCCAACAGATTGGAATCCAGAGATAGTGGTGGCCATTGTGCGCTGGAAATGAAGTGAGGAACTTCATTTTGTAACCATTCTTGGGTGGCGCGTGCTGAGTCCTGTTGGAATGTCCAAGGTCAGCGGCCAAAATGTGTGCGTGCCCAAGGCTTTAATACACCCTCCAGAATATTTTCGCGATAATATTCGGCATTTATTTTGATGCCACGGTCGATTAATACGAGCGGAGAGCGACCATCGGCTGCTATAGCGGCCCACACCATCACCATGGTCGGCGCTTGAATTCTGGTGGCCAACCGGAGATGCATATCTTCAGCTGACCTCTTTGGCAAGTAAACAAGATGATTTTGTTTGTTTTCAAACTGCTGGACAACGAATGTTTTCTCATCGGAGAAAACCAAATTCGGTAGTTCACCACTTTCGGCCAAGCGAAGCATCTCTTTAGCTCTTTGAGTTCATTTTCTTTCCGTTGCGTCCGCACTTTTTGGAATTTTCAATATTTTCCGAATGGAATATTGCGATATGTTCAGCTCACGAGCCATTTTCCGGCCACTGCGACGCGGGTTTCAATCAAGTCGCTTCTTTACTTTTCGAACCATTTCTGCTTCCGCCCACTTCATTGAAGTCGGGCTACTCTACCAGTATCATGGTAACGATCGATGATACGAGACACAAAAGATTTATTCACATTTAAATGCTGGAGTGCTCTATCGATATCCACTTGTGGTTTTCCAGCCAAATATAAAGAAACCACACTATCACGCTCGAATTCCATCACGAATAACTTTTTTTCTGGAAAATTCTCACCAAAATGCTTTTGTACGCTTGTAAACAATATAATGAGCTGTCACTGGAATAATTTTAACAGATGTCGGACAAGTGGCTTAGAAATGACAGCAGTCTGAATTTGGTTGCAGTTTTATTTTTTATCTCATTCTGTATGTCGGTGGGATTTTGTCCCCGATTTGCTAAGATGCTTTAGCAAAGCAAAGATTGCTGTTTTTTCAATATACAAGATGACAATAATTATTGAAATGGCAATCTCGAAATCCAGACATTTACTTAAATTAGTGATATTCCCACCCCTTGTTTTTAAAATTAAAATTACTAAACCAAAAATTCATTTGAGGACCTATATGTAAAAATACACTATATATAAAAATACGCTAAATATTTATTTAATATCTTTTATCCTTTTTTTCTTTTTTTTTTTTGATAAATTCAATTAAAAATATATTTCTTACAAATTTCGTTTAGTGGTTTTTAGCCACAGCACACATTTTACCCATACCAGTAATTGGAACTTTTGTCAAGTACTTTAAAAATAACTCAATTTTCATTTCAATTTATCTCTTTTCTTTTTCGTTCTCTTCACATTCTCATTTTTTCACATGCTCGTCTCTGTGCATTGGGGAACTACCACAGTTGATTTTCCAGCAAAACTAGAAATAAAACGTACATCGAATTTGGAAACCTATCTGCACACACTACACAAGGCGACCAATTACTCGTTGCGGGTACTGGCGTACACGGCCACTGGTGATGGTGTAGCCAGTCAGCCGTTATATTGCCAAACGGAGGATGATGTGCCCGATGCACCGGCTGCCATCAAAGCAGCTGCCCTGACGGCAGATTCCATTTTGATTTCATGGCTGCCACCGAGAAATCGCAATGGCATAATAACCCATTATACAGTCTATTCAAGGGAAGCCGGACGTAAAGGACAGGCCAAATGTAAGTATCCTCTAGCCGCCCTCATTCTATTTTTCACAGCTTCCTAGGTTGCTTTTACTTCTTGCCCAAATCATGATGATGATGATGACCAATGCTGAAAAGTACCAAAAAAAAGCAAACTCCAGAAAGCAGAAAAGTAAATCGAAAAAAATTAAGCAAAGAATTTTTGAAGTTGAAATAAAAGTTAGTTTTTTTTCTGCGAGTGTGCGGAAGGCTGGTCGGGGCAATATGAACAATAGGAACATGGTGATAGGAAAAGTTTGGCTCAACTTATCATTGGAAGTCATGAAAGGTGCAGTAATATCCGGAAACTTGCCTTAACGCAGACGTCGTATTTGAGCTTCAGCTTTTTAATACGCACATTGATATCTGGCTACTTTTTTCTCTGATCCATGAAAATGGAATTGAGTATGATGGGGCAGCAGCAGCAGGAATACGCCTCGTGAATGCTTTTTTATTTACTTTTATTAGCTGAAGTTTTTTTTTCATCGCGTTGTCTGACTGTGATTGTGGATTTGAAACGTAAAAGTTTTGGCATTTAATTTCAATTTAATGCCCCCTTTGGTATGAACTACGAAAGGGAAAAAGAATTGATAAAGTTTGCGAATGTTTTGCTTTTTGTCTGTTTTTCCAATCTTCCCACCCACGGTGCACAAAAAAGGGTAATAATTTGCGCGGTGTAATTATCACATAATTGAAAGGAGATCTTAATTATCAATGTCTTGTGGAGCTGAAAAGAAAAACTTTCCTTTTGGGTGTGTTTTATTTTTGTCTTCTTTTTCGAGAAATGAATTAATTAATGAAGAAGTTTTAAACAATGTTATGCTAATTCGGTTTCAACTAGCAACAGTTTTTGTCAGATTTTTGATTAAAATTGAAGAATGCAAGTTGGAATTAAGGAATGTTGAATAAATTTAATTATTTCAAATCTAAGTTTAAAATAAAAAATTGAGCTCGAGGTCTTTGCAAAACAAGTACCGACGTCAAGTATTTGGTCGAAATCAATAACTAAAAATCAGAAAATATATTTAATTGTCTAAAACTAACAAAGCGAAAAAAGAAATGAGAAAATGAGATTTTGGAAAACTTCTCTAATATGGAAGTTCCAAAGTCTTCATATTGCCCTTTGTCCAGAGAAGACCTGATATGAGCTGACTTTTATCTGAAATAAACATTAAAAATGTATAGGTGCTAAAGAGGTTTGTAAAAAATTGTTCATCTCATGATGGCCTCAAAAATGTATACTTCCAAAAGGGACCCATTAAATATACTTCAAAACATGTTAATAGGTTTTCAGTCCAATTTAAAAGCTCTTCTACATATTTGAAAAGGGGTTTGTCTTCAAAACATGTCTCGGAAGATACCTAATAAACCTCTTGAAATTACACCTGTAGAAGAATTGTAAAAGAAGTTTAAAGGTTCCTCTATCTCTAAATAAGACCTTTGTTTGTCTCCAGGCTGTGTAAGATCTTTGCAAGATTTTCTGACTTCGCTCTACAGAAGTCCTTTGGAGAAATTCTCTCTAATAAGTCATTTAAAATAAAAATAGTTTAAAGTTCTTTAAAAGAGAGAGAAAGTTTTGCTAAGATATATTTTTTGTAGAGAAGAATAGAATCACAAGGCTACAGAGGGCATATATCATTTGAGAACGACAAAAAATGCCACATCGAAATAACGGGCATAGACAATTGGTATTTTTGGGAGAAATTCGAGGGTATTTGGACTCGATTTTGCGTTGTCCGTCCATCTGTCTTGGTGACTGGTGCAAAATTGGCACGAATTATGGCCTTCAAACGGCCAGTGAAACAGTCACCTGTTGCCCACATCTTGCTTTGCGGTATCTTGCTCCAATCCCGGCAAAGCGCTTACTTGAGGTGATCGACACTTTGTTATTTTTTAGTGCCAACCTTGCTTTCCAAAATACTCCAGACACTATAGTTCATCGGATTAGTATCTGGAGATTTTGGTGGCCATTGTGCGCTGGAAATGAAGCGAGGAAACTCATTTTGTAACCATTCTTGGGTGGCGCATGCTGAATGCGATGGTGCTGAGTCTGGCCTTCAAACGGCCAATTAAACCGTCAAACGCTGCCCGAATGTTGCTTTGCGGTATTTTGGCCCATTCCCGGCGCAGCGCTTGCTTAAGGTGATCGACACTTTTGTATTTGTTAGTGCCAACCTTTCTTTCCACAATACTCCAGACACAATAGTCCAACGCATTGGTATCCGGAGATTTTGAATGAATGACCCATTCTTGGGTGGCACGTGCTGAGTACGACGGTGTTGAGTCCTGTTGGAATGTCCAAGGTCTGCCGCTAAAATGTTTGCGTGCCGAAGGCTTCAATACACCTTCCAGGATATTTTCGCGAAAATATTCGGCACTTTATCTGATGCCAAGGTCGGTTAATACGAGCGGAGAGCGACCATCGGCTGGTATGGTGGCCCACGCCTTCACTATGGCCGGCGCTTGAGGTCAGGTGGCCAACCGAAGGTGCACATTTTCAGTTGACCTCTTTGGCAAGTAAAGGCGATCATTTTGTTTCTTTACAAACTGCTGGACGACAAATGTTTTCTCATCGGAGAAAACCAAATTCGGTAGTTCACCACTTTCGACCAAGCGAAGCAACTCTTTAGCTCTTCTGCATCGATCTGCTTTCTGTTGCGGTGTAAGTTTTTGAACTTTTTGGAATTTCAATGACTTTACCCCGAGCTCATTTTTCAATATTTGCCGAGTGGAATATTGCGATATGTTCAGCTCACGAGCCATTTTTCAGCCACAGCGACGCGGGTTTCGATCAATTCGTTTCTTTACTTTTCGAACCATTTCTGCTGATGTTGCTGTTTTCTTCCGTCCACTTCCTTGACCTCGGGCTACGCTACCAGTATCACGGTAACGAGCAATGGTACTATACACAAAATATTTATTCACATTTAAATGCCGGAGTACTCTAACGATAGCCACGTTCGGTTTTCGAGCCAAATATAAAGAAATCACACTATCACGCTTGAATTCCATCACGAATAACTCTTTTTCTGGAAAATTCTCACCAAAATGCTTTTGTACGCTTGTAAACAATATAACGAGCGGTCACTGGAATAGTTTTGGCAGCTGCCAGACGAGTGGCTTAGAAATGACAGCAGTCTGAATTTGGTGGCAGTTTTTTTATCTCACCCTGTATATATTTGAACAACAGATGGAGCCTTTTTGAAGCTTAGCGATCCGGCGTGCTGATTTCCTAAAATAGCTTTTTGGCAATATATTCCCACGATTCCCTTCTACATTTTACTAGCCATAGCGAAAATGATTAAATCCAATAATTACCTTTACTATTTACTGTTGTAATTTCCGAATTCAATGTTGATTTATTGCCTCAAACGGTGTTATTTTAGTTTATTTAATATTTTATTTTCATTTAATTTTACTACAATTTTTTCTATTGTTTTTACTCATCTTTTCCTCTGCCGTTTTGTATTTTATTTATTTAGCTCACATGGTGCGTGTCGATGAGTCTGGTTATCCGGTTACACACGAGGCACGCAGTTTGGCTGAGAATCAAATGTACGAATTTTGGGTATCGGCCTCAACGTCGGTTGGCGAGGGTGAGCCAACATCTGTGGTGGCACAAGCCACAAACACACGTGGTAAGTTGAAAATTGAAATTCGATTTGATTTTATAGGTATTTATTATTGTTGTTAAACTCAGACAGAGATACACGAACTCTCACACACACACACACAACGTCAGACAGACTGAAGGATAAACATTCGCATAAGCGCATATAAATTTATGCAAACACTACATACATACACACATACATTCATATCGTTGTCATTGTATGACATTTTTAAGTACACGTATTGTGCAGTTCGATAAAAACCAATGTTTCAGCCATGAATTGTATGTGGCTGTGTTTACACAATTACCAATGTTTATTTGGTTTTTGGTACTTCTATGCGGGGGTATCGTTGCAAAATAAATACAAATGTGTGTGTGAATGTGAGTAAATATGATACCTTAAAACAATCAGACTGATTCTCTTTTTTGGTAATTCGTATGGGATAAGCTGTGATTTTGAATAAATCCTGGGAGAGGTGAATTTTTTGTTCCCAATTTTTATACCCTCCACCATAGTATAGAGGTATATTAAGTTTGTCATTCTGTTTGTAACACCTCGAAACATGCATTTTAGACCCCACTACTTTGTGGGGGTCTTGATCAGCATAAAATTCTATGTCGATTTAACGATGTCCGTCCGTCTAACCGTCTGTGGAAATCACTCTAGCTTCCGAAAGAAATGAATTAGGTTGATAAAATTTTTCTTTAAAAGCATATTATGTCTGCAGGACTTTTGGTATTGAAAATGGCTCATGTAGGCCCACGTTTTGGTATAGCCCCCATAAAACGGTACCTCCCTATTTTCGGTATTTTGGTGATTTAAGGGACATTATTCACAGTTCACAATTTTTATACCATTCACCATAGTATAGAGGGTATATTAAGTTTGTCATTCTGTTCGTAACACCTCGAAACATACATTTTAGACCCCACTACTTTGTGGGGGTTTTGATCAGCAAAAAATTCTATGTCGATTTAACGATGTCCGTCCGTTTAACCGTCTGTGGAAATCACTCTAGCTTCCGAATGAAATGAATAAGGTCGATACAATTTTTAGGTTGATAAAATTTTTCTTTAAAAGCATATTATGTCTGCAGGGCTTTTGGTATTGAAAATGGGTCATGTTTGGGCCACGTTTTGGTATTGCCCCCATAAAACGGTATCTCCCTATTTTCGGTATTTTGGTGATTTAAGGAACATTGTTCACCGGAAATGTTTCAAATTTAATATTTGAAGTTCGTAATGGATACTACAGCCCAAGACAGAAAATTGTCTGTGCAGTTTTACATCTTCGTATATCCCTCATAAAACAGTACCTCCCGATATTCGGTATTTTGATGATATTAGCGACATTATTCACCGAAATTGTTTCAAATTTTGTTTTTGAGGTTCGTAATGCATACTAGAGCCTACGACAGAAAATTGTCTGCGCAGATCCGCGCCTTGGTATAGCCCCCATATAACGGTACCTCCCGATATCCGATGTTTTGATGATTTCAGCGAAATTATGCACCGGAATGATTTCAAATTTGGCATTTGAAGTTCGAAATGGATACTACAGCATAAGACAGAACATTTTCTCTGCAGGTCCAGGTCTTCGTATAGCCCCCATATAATAGCACCTCCCTATATTCACTATTTTGATGATTTTAGCGATATTCTTCATCGGAATTGTTTCAAATTTGGTTTTTGAAGTTCGTAATGGATACTACAGTCTAAGACAGAAAACTGGCCGTGCAAGCCCACGCCTTCGTACCTCCCGATATTCGGTACTTTGTTGGTTTTAGCGACATTATTCCCCAGAATTGTTTCATATTTGGAATTTGATGTTCTTAATGTATGCTACAGCCTACGACAGGAGATTGTCTGTGCAGGTCCAAGTCTGCGTATAGCCCCCATATAACGGCACCTCCCTATATTCGGTATTTTGATGATTTTAGCAACATTGTTTAGCGATTTTTTTTTTTTAATTTCGCATTTGAATATTGTAAAGTCTTATCACAAAAGTTGCCTATGCTGGACCATGTCGTCGTATACATACGGCTATATTCGGTATTTTTAAAATTTGAACAGAATTTTAAAGGGATATTATTTATTTGAAATTTTAAAATTCGTTCCAAATGGTGGAGGGTATTCAAAGTTCGAAGAGGCCGAATTTACAGCTTTTTTATTGTTAAAATATTGGATGAAAGAGCCAAATTGTACTGCAAACAACAAGTTCAAAAGTATCAGTCGGTTTATCCTACAGATGTATACCCTCAGCCAATGTTTGATTATTTAAATATATTTTGACCCCCATACATAGGGTTCAACATTTTGAAAAACAAAACGTTCAAAAAATGCGAAATAAGCATCCAACTCTCTCTGAAAATTTCACACATACAAACATTTTTGCTAACACAAGATCTTTTGTGAAGACGATATGTATCTGCGTACCCTTCTGGTACCTCTATCATCTTCACAAAAGATCTTGTGTTAACAAAAATGTTTGTATGTGTGAAATTTTCAGAGAGAGTTGGATGCTTATTTCTCTTTTTTTAACGTTTTGTTTTTCAAAATGTTGAACCCTATGTATGGGGCAGGTACTAGAAGAAGTTCTCCGATCTCTACCGTATTTATAACAGATGAGGTATTAATAGAAATATTAAGATGTGCTAAGTCTAAATGGAATCGGATGTTAATTTCGCGTTTTATGAGCTTAATGAATATTCAAAATTTCGACCTTTTCCACCTTGACACCAGATCTTGGGTTTATAAAAATATTGGGATGTGTGAAATTTTTAAAAATATCGGATCCTTAAATGTGTGGGAAGCACTTGATTAACCCAAGGCCTGGTGTTAAGATGGTACCTCCCCCACAAAAGATCGAAATTTTCCAAAAATATATTTTCTGCACAGAAAGAGAACCGATAATCCGATTTGAAAAAAAATAAATGTAAAACAAATAAGCAAAGACTATAGTCGTGCGGGGCCGACTATGTTATACCCTACAACACTACAATATGTTAGAAGCCCCCTTATGTCCAAATCCATATTGGAAGATTTCACTTTTGAAATTAGGATTTTGACTAGGGACATTTGCCCAACATTTATGCACTCCGTCGTTGTTGTAGTCCATTTTACAGATAAATATAATCCAATGGTCATCCAAAATGCTAGAATTCTTCCCTGTCCTTAACTCTCTTCACAGGCATGTCGATTGGCTTCAATTGTGTGATCGGAAAAACATTTCTGTTTTTGGTTAATTTGAACCCCTAAATATTTTGCAATCATCTCCAAAAGCTAGAAGCCCCTCTGTATCTCCAAATTTAGACTCATCTATATGATTTGCTTGTCTACGATATTTGGCTATATTCGTCAACGGAATCAGCATAAAAAAGCCAGAAGTTCGCCTTTTGTGTATTTCGGGTATCGCTTGTAAGTAATGCTGGTATTTTTTCACACAAAATTAGTGGTCCATTGTACCCGCTGTCCTAAACTCTAACTTTATGCAAGATTTCGTGTCCTTTGGTTTCTATTTGTGACCTTTATAACGGCTGCAAAATCAGGAAAATTTTAAGTTTTTGTCCATTTCAACCCCTAATATACTGCGGACATCTTTGAAAACAATAGGCCGAGCCTTTCTGAGCCCAACCCTACCCTTGTGAAAATTTTCGTGAGGATCGGACGATATTTGCAATATTTATTTAATATCCCCAACCTGTGTTGTAAGGTGAAAAAATATTACAAAATATTATAAGTCAAATGGAAAAAATCGCATGCGATAAAAAATATGAAAAAATAAAACAAATGTCACAAAATACTACAAAATCTATTTAACATTTTTATTGGCATATTTTTCTGCGATATTTTTAGATTTTATACTTTTATGTCAAGAGGGCATTCTGAATTGACAAGATTTGTCAAAATCGGTCCAGACATTCTAACTAACATCCCCTTCCTTTGTATATACACATTGTATATATTTCGCTATATATAACCGATATATTTACTATCGACATCTACGTAACGGTCAGAATTGACCTGTTCGTCTATTTGTGATTTCGCCGGGATTAAAAATATTCGCTGTTTAATGGAAAATTTGACTTTTATTTAACACAAATGTTGTGGCCTATTTCACCCACTAAATATTACCCGATGACCATGAAAATTGGAAGGCTTCTGCCCGGCCCTAAGCTCTAGCCCCATGCTAACTTACGCTTTGATTGGTCTATAATTGCGAACTGTAGGGTAACTGCAAAATCAGGAATTTTTTCAGTTTTTGGTCCATTTCAAGCCCTAAATATTATGCGATAATCTCCAAAAGAAATAGGGTTCTATTCTGACCCTAGCCCCACTTTCCTATGTGGGAAACCAATATTTCGTGGTGTTACATAATTTTTGGCCCAATCAAACTTATAATACCCCCAACACATAGTGTTGTAGGGTATAAAAATATTACCCCATATATATGTTATACCCTCAGTCATATGGCTACAGAGGGTATAAATTTCTGAAGTTATGAGGTGTAAAAGGTTTCAAAAATACGTTCTTTTAAAGCGTTTTACTTCAATTAAAATATGACATTAATTAAATAACACTATTACACGATTCTCTCATGTAGAACATACCCTCAATTCGAATATGGTTATTCTTTATATAGTCTTCTGATGAATAAACATAAAATGATGAATAATAATAAAACTAGTATTGTAAAATAAATATCTGAATAAACATTATATAAAAGTATCGATATCAATATTCTCTGTAAATATCAATTTCTTATTTATATTCATCAATTTTTCCAGCACCTGCAAGAATAGCCTCATTCGGTCAAGTTGTACGAAAGGCAGTGGGAACAAGTCTTATACTGGAATGTCTGGCTGTGGGTAATCCAACACCCAGAGCACGATGGCTGACACGTGACCGACCGGTAACCTTTAGTCCCTTCTATGAGGTGACAAACGAAGGAAATCTAAAAATACACAGTAAGTTTTTATCCTACGTCACAAACAAACATACAAACGAACGAACGAAAAACAATATCGAATAGAAAAAAGGATAGCATACAAGGGATAGTGCAAACAAAACAAGAAAGTTAATTAAAATATTTTGATTTCTTCCCTCCACCTTTACCTCAATTACACCTCCATATCTTTTGTCTTGCACTTCGCAAAACCAATATTGATTTTTCTTACCTGGACAATTTTATTTTTATTCCATTCTTCTAATACTCAATTCTCTGTACTTCGTCTGTGGCATATGTACGTGTGGCTGGCTGATGACATTTGACTTCATTCTCTCTGTCTCCAAATTCACACGCCCCACCTTCGGTGCACATGGATTCACAGGAGTTGAGGGTAGTCTGTCCGGAAATTACACATGTACGGCAAACAATCTTTTTGGCAGTGATGAAATACAATACCAAGTGATTGCCATGAAACCACCGGCCTCACCACAAATCATTGTCCAGTATGCCTCGGCGGACAGCATACGGGTGAGTTGGGATCCACCCGACGATGGTGGTGCCCCATTGCAGGGCTATGCCATCTCATATCGCATTATGGGCGAGACATGGTCCCAAATCGAATTGATGCCGGAGAATAATGCCTACACTATAACGGGATTGAAATGTGGCAATCAGTACATCATCAAGATGTCGGCCCACAATATTGTGGGGGATGGTGCGGCCAGTGAGGAAATTAATGTTTGGACCAAGGGTAAAGGTAAGTTATCACCCGTCACATATTTGCATAGCAAAACCTACTCTGGCATGTTCATTTATGAAGAAGAATTTATTTTGTTATTTGACTTCAAAACTAGACATTTTGAATGTTGTCTGAGGAGTTAGCCAAAAAGTGGTATGAACTAATTCGATTTCTGTTGCTATTTTTATTTCGACATTACAGCCTCCCAAGCTCCCATCAGCAACGAACTAATTGCAACGAACGCATCGTGCGTTAATTTGAAATTGTCAGCATGGAATAATGGCGGTTGCCCAATTCATCATTTCTCCATTGAACATCGTCCTTTGGGTAAGTTGTCCTTTTACACTGACATTGCGTTGGGTCCTTTGTGACGCACGTCGCTGTTGTGCGTTGTTCGACGCACCGTCGTCGTTTGTTTGATTATTTATTGTGGTTGCAACCGCAAACTAACTAAAACTACTGCAAATCTTCAAATTCATGTTTGCCGCATTGAATTGATGCGTGAGTTGCCATGTGTCAGAATAGAAACTGAATATCAGAGATTTTACATAAAAATATTCGAAACAATTATCGGTTGTGGGTCGAAATTGTTCCGAACAGGCGTGAAATGAATTTCTAAAAAATTGTTAATCTTTGCCATGGAACATATTTATATATGAACATGAAAGTATAGAAAATTAGAAAAAAAAAACAAGTAAAAAGCTGTAAGTTCGGCCGGGTCCAACTTTGATAACCCTCCACCATTTGGAACAAATTTGGCAATTTTCAAAAAAAAAAAAAATAAATAAATAAAATCCTTTTGTCATAAGTCATAACAATATTCAAATGCGAAACTTGAAAAAAATCGGTGAATAATTTAGCTTAAATCATAAAAATACCGAATATAGGGAGGTAACATTGGGGAAATACCATAACGTGGACCTGCACAGATACATTTCTATCATAAGCTGTAGCATCCATTACGAACTTCAAATATCAAATTTGAAACAATTCCGGTGAATAATGTCGTTATAGTACCGTTATAGTTTTAAATAAATATTTTTTAATAAATCCACGATTCCGACTCAGTCCTCAAAAAATTTTAAAAATCTTTGATTCCGTAAATTCTTATATACTATTTTTAATTTTTTACCAGGAAGAACTTGAATTTTTTAAATAACTCTTGGCCAACGCTTAAGAAATATATTAAAATGCATAAAAATTGGGCTATATCGGAGACTTCGTTCTTATTATACAATATTCATCAGTATTCAATAATTTTTTTTAAGTGGCTGATTACGTGCGCAATTTTTTTAATCGATAATTGATCCGGAAACTAAGTTTCTACAATCGTTTAAGGGACGGAATTTTGGAACAAAAATAAATTTGTAAATTGAAATCGGTTCAGACTTCCCGTATACATTTTCGGCGGATTACATGTATTTGATGCACCAAACACGCTATGTACCTTTAATTTCGACAAAATTTGGAATGTGCAACGGAATTAAAAAACGAACATATATTTGCCATATTATAACGTAATCGGTTCAGATTTGGATATAGCTTCCATATATATTTTCGACCGATTTGGAATGTATGACGGGATTTTGATCAGAATATTAAATTTGTCAAATTATATAGAAATCGATGCGGATTTGGATATAGCTCTTATATATTTTTTGGGCCGATTTCACATATTTGATGTACCAAATACGACATGTATGCCCAATTCCAATGAAATTCGCTCAGAGAGACGAAATTCGGTACCAAAATAAATTGTCAGATTATATTGAAGTCGGTTGAGGTTTGGGTATAGCTCCCATATATATATTTCGGCCGATTTCATGTATGTTATGCACCAAACACGATATGTATGACCGATTCTAATGAAATTCAGAATGTGTTGCGGAATTTGGTTACAATAATAAATTTAACAAATTAATTAGAAATCGGTTAAGATTTGGATATAGCTCCCATATATATTCTCGGCCGATTTCACATATTTGATGCATCAAACAGGGTATGTACCTACAATTTCTATGAAGTATAGAAGATGTGACGGAATTCGGTGTAAATGTCAATTTTGTTAAATTATATTGAAGTCGGTTCAGATTGGGATATGATTTTATTAAAAAGCATTGACCCTCAGTGCCTTTGTAATGATATTAGGCTAACAGCAAAAAACTACACAACGATATAATTCAGGATACGATTTTTGCGGGGAAGTATGTTACTACCTCGAATTCACTAATTGCAACAGAAATGCCACTCAACTTCAATAGATTGCAGTTCCTACACCCTTGGCATTTGGTATGAAGTTAATAACTCCGAAAAAACCTTGCGGACTAAATTTGGCATGTTCCTGCTTTCCTCATGGTCAGCTGTTCCTGGCATTTTCACGCGTTAGAAGACCGAGCAATTTGTTTGTTTACGCATTAAAGTATTACAATAATTACGTTTTTAAATTTTGAATGCATATAAAATCAAAGGAGATAGGGAAGCGCACCGGGTTCAGCTAGTATAAGATAACATTTATTTATTATAATTATTATTATTAATATTATTATTATTATTATTAATATTATTATTATTATTATTATTATTATTATTATTATTATTATTATTATTATTATTATTATTATTATTATTATTATTATTATTATTATTATTATTATTATTATTATTATTATTATTATTATTATTATATTATTATTATTATTATTATTATTATTATTATTATTATTATTGTTATTATTATTATTATTATTATTATTATTATTGTTATTGTAATTATTATTATTATTATTATTATTATTATTATTATTATTATTTTATTATTATTATTATTATTATTATTATTATTATTATTATTTATTATTATTATTATTATTATTATTATTATTATTATTACTATTATTATTATTATTATTATTATTATTATTATTATTATTATTATTATTATTATTATTTTATTATTATTATTATTGTTGTTATTATTATTGTTGTTATTATTATTATTATATTATTATTATTATTATTATTATTATTATTATTATTATTATTATTTTTATTATTATTATTATTATTGTTGTTTTATTATTGTTGTTTTATTATTATTATTATTTTATACTATTATATTATTATTATTATTATTATTATTATTATATTATTATTATTATTATTTATTATTATTATTTTATTATTATTATTATTATTATTATTATTATTTTATTATTATTATTTTTATTATTATGTTATTATTATATTATATTGTTATTATTATTTATTATTATTATTATTATTATTATTATTATTATTATTATTATTATTATTATTATTATAATTATTATTATTATTATTATTATTATTATTATATTATTATTATTATTATTATTATTATTATTATTATTATTATTATTATTATTATTATTTATTAATTTTTTATTATTGGTAGGCTATTCAGTAAGTACTTACTTTCTGTGGCTTAATAAGCTCATTATAATTTATGTTAGGATTGATCTATTCAGAGAATACATTGTTTCACTTGGAGAATTTAAATGTATTTTGAAATGTTTCCAATTCCTTTGTTTGATGGAAACTTTTCCCCCAATCTACAATATAGATAAAATCGTTTAATTCCCCTCACGACGGGAGCAACAAAATCATCATAATATTTATATAGAGGAATTTCATTCACAGAAAATGCTCTCCCCAAAATAATAATTTATGTCTTCTGTATAAATTAATTAAGACTCTTTTCAATTTCCGCTATAATAAATCTAACGATGAACTAACTAATATAAACACCATAATAGTTAGACAGCTGGCAACTATGTTTTGCGGTAAGCGTTTGGTGGTCAGTGTTATACCAACGAAGTTGTCTGTCTGTCGGTCTGTCTGTACGTTTCTCTGTCTGTGTGCATGCTGTCATTTGACCATGTTATCGTAATTGAATTCTATCTATGCTCATGTTTACATAAACATCCTTGTGACCGGCGCGGTGGATTTCGTTGCGTTGCGGTTGGTTTGTGAAATTAACGTTTTAAGTTTTTTCCTGGTTGTAGCTGTAGCCATCTCTATAATGGACAATGGTCGGGTCTGATGACTAGGTGGGCCCCACATATGGCACCATGATAATGATGGCGATGGGCTAAAAACTGCTGTAAATGAATACGTGCGTAAAATATTTTGAATAATGTCATTAGCTTGGAATTCATTTGGGCATATAATTAATAAATTTCCATTAAACATTATTTAATTTAATTTGAAAATCGATTTTTTTCTGTCTGTCTATATGTCTGTAGTTAAGCAGTAGTACTTATGAGTGTAGATGTGTGTGTGTATGCGTGTAAATGAAATGAAACCAAATGAGACTTATTTTGTGGTTTTGTAAAAATGGCAACTAAATGTAATTACAATACTAAATTGAATGTAGAAAGAAGGGGGTGGGGATTATACAGGTAAGTTAATTGTTTTTCAAATAAGGTAGGGGATTTTGTTATTTAACTGCGAGAGAATTATTGAAAAAAAAAAAAATAAATGATTGGTTATATAGCATTTTCCCTTGCAATTTGATAAATTATGGTATTGGTTATATATCTGCGGAGAAGTCTTTGAAAATTAAATATAGATAAACTTCCCTTTTAATTAATAGGTAAATCTGTTAAGATTACGTCTGTAATAAGTATGATCTATCATACGGAAAATATAATTTTGAATCAAATTTACACCAATCCTCATAAGTTCCCTTGTTTTTTTTTTCTGGGATATTCTCCTCAGGAATTATTTTATTTTCTTTCGGTTGAGCTCACGATCTCGTCACTTACAGTTTTTTTTTTTCATAGGGTTTTTTTTTTAAATAACTCCTGAGGAGAATATCCCAGACAAAACAACAAGGGAATTGATGAGGATTGGTGTAAACATTATCGTATTTTCCCACTAATAAAGAGTCGTTGTTTTCACAAAAAAAAGCAATAATGGGATTAAGCCTGACTATCTTGCAACAACATTTGTATTTTCTTTCTCCAGAAAATATTACTTTTTGGGACCTCTTCAGGCGCTCGTTTTCCAATAACTTGAAATAATTTTTAGATTTGATACAGATACAGTCCTTTGAGTTCCATGTAGAATCGTTTGTAAAAAAAAATGTGTTATGTCGTCATGGGTTAGCCCCAATGTAAGGGAATTATCGGGGTATTCAAGTATTTTTTATGTTTTAACCACATTTTTCAAATTAATTTCGGAAAATTTTGGTAACTTGATTTTTAGAAACACAAAAAAAATCCTTTCTAACAATTATAGGTTTCGGTATAAAATTCATATGAAGGCATCCCCATATTAAAGCTAGTTCTGTCGTCTTGACCACATCTTTCACTTGATTTGGCCTTTATTTGGCATCTTGGCTTCAATGTTTCGGAGTAGCTCCTATATAAGGTATCTCCTGATTTTAACTAATTCGAGGGTCGATTTTGCTAAAAATGTATATTTAGACTACTTTTGAGGTAGACGACCATTTTAAGGTAGACGACCAAAAAAAAAAAACATTAAGTTCGGCCGGGCCAAACTTTTAATACCATCCATCTTAGGGTAAAGGAAACATTAGAAGAAAAGAAACCATTAAAATGCAGAATATCGGGAGGTAGCATTGCATGGGGGCTATACCAAATCGTAGACCTACAGATGCAATGTTTCGCCAACGGAGCTAGAACTCATTATGACCTACATATACCAATTTTCAGACAAATACGTGAAAAAATGTGGCAAAAATCATTACAGAATATCGGGTACCTCCCGGCGGCTATACCAAAACGCGGACCTATAATTACAATGACTCGCCACACGAACTGGGACCCATTATGATCTACAAATACCAATTTTCAGGGAAATTCGTGAAAAAATGTGTCAAAAATCATCAAAATACCGAATATTGAGAGGTACCGTTATATGCGGACTATACCAAAACGTGGACCTATACATACAATGTTTCGCCACACGAACTAGGACCCATTATGACCTGCAAATACCAATTTTTAGACAAATCAGTGAAAAAATGTAGCAAAAACAATACAAATACCTAATATCGGGAGGTACCGTTATATGTGGGCTATACCAAATCGTGGACCCATATATGCAATGTTTTGCTACCGGAGCTGGAACCCATTATGAACAACAAATACCAATTTTTAGACAAATACGTGAAAAAAATGCGGCAAAAATAATCAAAATACCGAAGAGGTACCTTTATATGGGGGCTATACCAAAACGTGGACTAATACATGCAATGTTTTGCCATACGTACAGGGACCCGTTATGACCTACAAGTACCTATTTTCAGACTAATCCGTGAAAAAATGTGGCAATAACCATCAAAATACCGAATATCGGGAGGTACCGTTATATGGGGACTATACCAGAACGTGGACCGATATATCTCATTTTCAATACCAATCATCCTAGGCACAATACAAATTGCTCTGCTAAATGTTGGCGCTCTACGTCAAATAATGTGGGCTGTGTCGTGATTTCAACAGACAGACGGACATCGTTAAATCGACTTAGAATTTCATGCTGATTATGAATATATACAGGGTTGCCCATATTCGACGGACCTTTGGGGCCATTCCAATCGACGAGGCTTGTCCGCAGGCAACATTCTTTGCGTCAATTGAATTTTGTACGGGAACAAATGCAAATCAATGCGAATAATCCGTTGTAAAGTGGACCGAGCCATGCCCAACTGCTGAGAACGGCGTTTTTGGGATGTTCTTGGGGACCTCTCAACACTGGCTCGTACGGCAGCGATATTCTCGGCCGATCGCCTTGGTCGACTTTTATATGGCCTCTTCGGATTAGAAAGAGCCTTACTAGTCGAAAATGTTTCGTATAAACGCTTAATGGTGTTCTTAGAAGGCGCACTTCTCACATTTTTTAATTTTTTTTAAAACACGTTGAGTTTTCACATTGGCAAAAGTTGTGAAACTTGTGGTCCATTTTACAGCTAAATGAAATCCAATGGACATCCAAAATGCTAGACTTCTTCCCTGTCCTTAACTCTCTTCCCATGCGAAATTCCATGTCGATTAGTTTCAATTGTGGCCTATAGAGCGACTACAAAATTAGAAAAAAAAATTTTTTTTTGGTCCATTTGCACCTCTAAATGTACATCTTAAGAACAATAGGCTTTAATTCTGACGCCAACCCTACCCCCATGTCAAATTTCGTGAGGATCGGACGATAATTGCAATATGCATATAATACCCTCAAAACGTAATGTTGGGGGGTGTAAAAATTTATAAAATTTACAATTCAAAGTTGCTTTTAAAAATAAGCATTAAAACTAAAACTACGAGTCGGCAACGGGAACCGGATAATCTAGCTTCCAAAAAAAATATCTAATATTATAACATAATACCAAAATTGAGGTAATGGCATATAGTTTTATACAGAAAAATATTTCGAATTTAAATTATCTAAAATGGAATGTAATTTTCAAATCTATATAAGATTTTCTCTTCGTTCGAGACTACACAGCAGTGGGCATGGATGGACCTATTAAAAAAGCAATATTTTTGGGACATACATATTTTCAATAAAATTACAGACAATCTGTAATATGTGTTTTTGAAAAAAAAAAAAAAAAAAAAAAAAAAAAAAAACAGCGATCTAGATCTAATAAATTATTCCCTTTCCATTTATCTCCACAGGTGATGTCCGTTGGACTGTTGTTACATCCGATATCTCCAATGCCGAAGAGAATCGTGAAAATTTAATATTTTGTGAATTTCAACCGGCCAAATGGTATCAACTGCGTATATCGGCCATCAATGATGCTGGCAAAACGACAGAACATTATCATTTTGCAACAACGAACATCGACGGCGTGACCATACCACCACCTCCTGTATTTCCATCGGAAAATGATTTAATGAATAATCTAATAAATGCTACGAATCCCACCAACGGTGATTGGCTGTCAACGTTTATTGTCATTGTCATTATAACTGTGGCCATAATCATTATGTAAGTACGATTTTGTTTGTAATTGATTTGTCTTGCAATATTTATTTGGCACAATGAGTAATTTGGTAGTAGCGTATCTGCTTGACTTTGATTCAAAATGGATGAATATAGATAGGGAGAATATTTACATATAAAGGTTGGGTACTATTTATAAAAAGAGGTTTCAATTAATATACCCTAGCCATTAGGCTACATTCCATACGACCCAAACGTGCTTCATCGAAATAACGGTTTAATATCCTAGATCTCTTTGGACAAAATCCGTTTCAGTACTTTTTGAGTCGATGTTGTGATATCCGTCCGTCTGTCTGCAGGGGAGTATCACTTGTCTCGAAGGGGGTATCCGCTTTTGTCCAAACGTGGCCGATGGCAATATAATTATCAAACTTACATCGAGTTCGGAGATGGACAATATCGGTGCACTACCTCCTTCACAAAAGGTCAAAAATTTCAAAAAAAGACATAAATAAATAAAAAAATGTTTTATTGAACACAAAGGGAAAGGATATTCCTATTTTGCTCCAAATTTGCAAATCCTAGTATTTGCGTCAGTTCTAGGTAAGGTGCAAAAATGGACAATATCGGTCCACTCCATCAAGTACCTCCCCCCAACGAGTCAACATTTTGAATAATTGCAACTCTTATAAAATGTGATGTAAGAATCCGATTGTCTTCAAATTACATACATCACTATATTCAAATTACACACATCACTATATTTTTATCAACACAAGGTCTGGCGTGAAGATGGGATATATCGGTCCACTTCTTCTTGTACCTCCCCAACAAAGGGTCAAAATGTTGATTCTTCATGAAGCTCATCGAACGTGGCATCAGAATAAATGTCGAATATTATCGCTAAGAAATTCTGCAGGGATGTATTAAAACCTTGGGCACGCAAACATTTTGGCCGCAGACCTTGGAATTTCCAACAGGACTCAGAACCATCGCGCTCAGCATGCGCCACCCAAGAATGGTTACAAAATGAGGTTCCTCGCTTCATTTCCAGCGCACAATGGCCACCAAAATCTCCGGATATCAACCCGTTGGACTACTGTGTCTGGAGTGTTTTGAAAACCAAGGTTGGCACTAAAAAGTACCAAAGCCAGCGCTTTGCCGGGAACGGGCCAAATTAACGCAGAGCAAAATTTGGTGCTATTTCCGACACTTTTTGCTTTTTGAGTTTTGGTGGCCAACCGAAGGTGCACATTTTCAGCTGAACTCTTTGGCAGGTAAACACGATAATTTTGTTTGTTTACTGGACAACGAATGTTTTCTCATCAGAGAAAATCAAATTCGGCAGGTCACCACTTTCCGCCAAGCGAAGCAACCCTTTGGAGTCTATTTTCTTTCTGTAGCGGTGTAAGTTCTTGCATATTTTGGAATTTCAATGCCTTAACCCCCAGGTTAATTTTTCAATATTTGCCGAATGGAATATTGCGCTATGTTCAGCTCACGAGCCATTTTTCGGCAACTGCGAAGCGGGTTTCGAACAAGTCGCTTTTTTACTTTTCGAACTATTTCTGCTGATGTTGCTGTTTTCTTCCGTCCACTTCATTGACGTCGGGCTGCGCTACCAGTATCACGGTAACGAGCGATGGCACGAGACACAAAATATTTACTCACATTTAAATGCTGGAGTGCTCTAACAATAGCCACTTGTGGTTTTCCAGCCAAATATAAAGAAATCAAACTATCACGCTTGAATTCCATCTCGAATAATTTTTTTTTCTGGAAAATTCTCACCAAAATGCTTTTGTACGCTTGTAAACAATATAATGAGCTGTCACTGGAATAATTCTGACAGCTGTCGAACGAGTGGCTTAGAAATGACAGTAGTCTGAAGTTGGTTGCAGTTTTTTCATCTCACCCTGTAGTATTCAATGTGCTTTAAAATCTACACTACACAATATTTTTTTTAAAAAACTTGAGGCATGTGCGAAAATTAGAGCATCGGTCATTTCCTTTTGATACACCCCCATCGGAAGTCTTATATTTTTGAGTTCCCGCTGTAGTCCACATTTGGAGATAGAGGGTATCCATGTTGATCAAAATTATGAAAATACCCTAGGTCTCATTCGACCAAATCCGTTAAAGAATATTTGGAGTAAATCTAGCGGCATCTCGAAGGAAGTGTTCAATTCACAGAAAATAATTTACCTTTTGGACAATTTGGTGAGAAAATGGACATTATTGGTCCAATCATTATAGCACCTTTCTCACAAAGGGCTAACATTTAGAATAAGCACATCGTTTATATACTGTGAAAGAGGAGTCAGATTCTCTTCAACATTCGCACATGCCAATATTTCTACCAATTCTGGACCTGGTATGAAGATGGCATGGATTTGACTACTCCTCTGGTACATTCTCCACAAAGGGTCAAAAATGTGTCACAGACTGCCGCAAAACGTCTGAAATTTCTCACTTTTTTGTTACAATACCCATTAAATAAAATATTGTGTTTTCCGTTGTTGCAAAATCGTCAGGCAAAATCCCATTATTGTTGTTTTTATAAAAACAACGTTTGTTTATGAGTGAAGAACGATGGTAATGTTTTCCTTTAATTCTCCGCACAACTCCTTGGCTCCCCTTAATAGTTTTAACTTTCTTCAAACAACCCCATCTAAATACAACTTCCTTTCGCTTCATACACAATCCATCGCCATTAGTCTCTCGCTCTCTCACTCCCACATCTATTGTTTAAACATTAAATGAATATTCCGGCAGTAATCTTTAAGAACATAAGCCATTTAGTTGAACTTGTAGCTGAACGCTGTTTGTAGCTGGCAGCCGTTGAAGAAAAACGAATTTAATTAATCTCTTTCTCATATTAACTGACAGCAATAAAATACACTGGCCCATTATGCTTAAGATGAACGGACGAATTAACTTCTGTGTGCCCTGTAATTAGTCTTCTTACTTCGTCTTCAGCGGCTGGGAGTTGTTGCAAAGAGGAGCGTTGAATATTTTTTACTGTTGCTTTCTCCTTGTGTTTTGTTATTTTGTTTTTTTTTCCTGTTTCTGTTTTTGTTGTTATTGTTCTTGTGCAAAAGGAAACTCATCTAATTCTCACGTTTTTAATTATGTGCCATTTTAACATTTTCCATGTTGTGTTTTTTTTCTCTTGTCCATTTTGTTTTCTTTTTCTCTTTCTCCACATTTTTTCTATGTTTCGCCGTTGTCGTTGCATCGTTACTGGATGAATGTTTTGCCATCTCTTCCGTTGTGGGTACGTGTGATTGTAATCTCTCTTGCTCCCTCCAGAGCATTAACCATAAAACATCGTCGCACTCTATGTGGCCCCCTGGCCGAGGGCTATGAGTCCCGCACATTACCGGGCGAATACAAAGAAGACCATGACAATCGCCGCAATCAGCAGGTGTATAGCGCTTCACCCGTTAAAACAGTGGACAAAGGAAATGAATCAGGTGAGTCGCGTCGAGTCGAGTCAAGTTGAGAGTTGAGTTGATACGACAAAGAGTAATGATGTAAAAATGTAACGCCAAACAAAAACAAAAAAAAAGAACAAATACGATGATATAAAGAAGTAGATTAAAGTTCGGACTAAAAATGTAACACAATTCTACTACAGTGACTGAAGTTTATGAAGGGTCAAAATGGGAATTGTAGCAGTTAATTGAATTTTTCTGCCCTTTAGGTGGACTAAATGTTAAGCGGAATTAAAGGAAAGTATCGTAAATTTGATATGGAGAAAAATAGTTTTGCTTTGATAATTGAGTAGAGTTTTGTGCAATTCACTTTTGAGTATTTGAGAATTTTGGGAGGAGTTTAAGGTTTAATTTATTTTCATTTTCTCAATAACCAATTCAATTAAGAGCAATGTAGTTAAAAACTGGTCATCTCATTGACACTTTTCTATATTGGATATCAATACCATAATATCTGGACTTAAAAAAAGTTTAAAAGGATATACATCAAAACGGAACGCTGATGGGCAAAAAACAAATGTCTATTTATCTGCTTCGGAAAAGAAAGGAACAAACCTCGAAAAGTCGAATGGGAGAGGTAAACAATTTTTAGGAGAAAATACAAAGTAATATGCCGAAAAAGTAAATGAAAAATACTTTCAATCGCATAGAATCAACGAAATCTGGCTCTGGGTTGCTGGGAAGTATCCTTGCCTCTTTGATGCAGCTGTCAAAGTTCTTCTTCCTTTAACAACCTCTTTGGTTGTTTACTTCACTGCGACTTAAACTACCAATAATGAAACTGATGCTAGGCCTACAATGACAAAAACTAAAAACCAAATACATACTTCCCATTGAAGTAAACTGTGCGTGGGCTATTTAAGTATCACTGATATTTAAGACTGGAATTTCAAGTATTTTCGTCACATTTTTCTAAAGAAAATAAAATTATTAAAATTTTGTTTGATTGGTCGGCATCTAGTGGACTTTGGGAACCAATGGTCTGAACCGTAATGCCAATTCTGTTCAAAAAAGTAACGTGCTGCAGTATATCAAGTTTATATAGTCTTTTGAACCTCTAAGAGGCTCACTATGCATGATATACGAGCCTCTTCTTTATTCTATATTCAATATTTTTTTAAATCCTCCACAGTAGTATGGAGGGTATATTAAATTTGTCATTCCGTTTGTAACATCTCGAAATATATATACCCCACCAAGTATATATATTCTTGATCAGCATAAAATTCTATATCGATTTAGCGATGTCCGTCCGTCTGTGGAATTGACTCTACCCTCCGAACAAAATGAAGTAGGTTGATTACTCCCATGTATATTATGTCTGCAGGACTTTTGGTATTGAAAATAGGCTACGTTTTGGTATAGCCCCCATATAATTGTACCTCCCTATTTTCGGTATTTTGGCGATTAAAGCGGCATTACTCACCGGAATTGTTTCAAATTTGGTATTTAAAGTTCGTAAAGGATACTACAGCCTATGGCAGAAAATTGTTTGTTCATATCCACGTCTTTGTATAGCCCCCATATAACGGTACCTCCCGATATTTGGTATTTTGATGAATTTAGCGATATTTGTCACCGAAATCATTTCAAATTGGGATTTTAAATTCGTAATGGATACTAAAGCCTAAGACAGTAAATAGTCTGTGCGGGTCCACGTCTTCGTATAGACCCTGTTAACGGTACCTCCCGACATTCGGTATTTTGATTATTTTAGCGACATTATACAACGGAATTGTTTCAAATTTGGTATTTGAAGTTCGTAATGGATACTACAGCCTAAGGCAGAAAATTGTCTGTGCAGATCAACTTTTAGTACAGCCACCATATAACGGCACCTTCCGATATTCGGTATTTTGATGATTTTAGCTACATTGTTTACCGATTTTTTTCAAGTTTCGCATATGACAAAAGTTGCTTATGCAGGTCCACGTCGTCGTATAGACCCTAATATAACGGCTAAATTCAGCATTTTTATGATTTTAATAGAATTTTTAAATTTATATTATTAAATATAAATAAACACCTAATTCCTGCTAACGGCCTATTTTATGGGATTAACATGGGGGTAAATTATTTTGTCATCAGTTGTAATACCTTAATCCGGAATCCTGAGAGTGAAATTCTACACATAATTATGTCATCTGCCTGCCGTCAAGGGACAGAGGTTATGACATTATTTAAGATATATGTTTGAAACTTTCCATTGCTTTGCGAATAAGAATATACATAATAATCTCATTCGGTTTATATGTTCTCGTTTAGGCACAACTTCAGTGTAACGGTATCTGCAGATTTTAAGTGTCTTGATGCTTTGAGAAACATTTTCCAGTTAAATTAGTATTTTAGTGTTTCAGGTTTTTAGAGGATATAAAACACCATTTGGTATTTCCTTCATACACGGTAAATCTTGATATCCAGAGCATTACTAATCCCAATAATTTGATTTTCTTCGCTTTTTATACCCTACATCACATAGTGGTAAATTGAAGACATAATACCTTTGTGAATTTGTTTGTAACATGGGGAAGAAAGCGAGATAGACCCATAGTTCCTTTTGATGATCTGCATAGAATCACATTCTGAGTCGATTTATGAATGTCCGTCCGTCTGTTCATGTATGAAATTTTGCACAAATCATTTGTTTGGCGCAAGGACGAACCCCTTTTCAAATTGTAGATAATCGGTCAAAATTTAGATATAGCTTCGTACGATTTGCCTTTTTTCTGCACCAAACGTGCAATATCAGCCTAAATAGTATGGAATTTTGCACATACGATAAAATTAGGCCTGAAAATAAGTATGCTAAATTTGATCGAAATCGGTTCAGATATAGCAGTAGCTCCCATATACATTATTCATCCGATTTATTATACTTGTTCCCAACAGCCGTAATATGCACTCTGTAACAACGATATTCAAGGAAATATATCAAATACAACTCAGAAATACCTTTGCAAAATTTTATCGAGATCGGTTCAGATTTTGATATAGAGCCCATATATATCTTTATCCGATTTCAAGTTAATTGAGCACCAAATAGGTATTACAAGACGGAATCGAAGTATACAAATTCTTCGGCATGTTCAGTCCGTTGGACTTTAAAGCTCTCCAAAATATGCAAAGAGCTGTAGGTTATCATAAAGTCAGCCCCGCCCGACTTTAAGACATTATATACTGGTTTCAAATGTATTCAAACACAAAACCAAATATATTAAAAATACCAGATAACCAAAACCATACCAGTTCTCGAGTTATACGCTTGGTGATTAACAAAGCCTCCTTATACATATATATAGGTAAGTCCTAAAGGCCAAGTGTAGGCGAATACCAAATTTCAGAATATCACTATTAGGTACAAATTATGAACTTTCAATGCCAAACAATTCCACTGCAAAAAGAACTTACTGCTTTTTTACTTGTTTTTTTTTGTTAATGGAAACAAAATTCTTGAATATTTTACTCAGGTTCGTGCTTTAAAAAATATGCGTAATCACATGATAGGGTTATTTAAACCGGATTGGTCTCAAAATAATCGATTTTAAGGTCCTGATGTTTTGTACAACCCTCAAAAAAAATCGAAAAATTACGCATTTAAGAAGTCCATAAAATTTATATAGTTCTGAAACAAATTTCAAGGAAATAGCAGAGTTTTTACTTAACTAGAGTGAAGCCATTGAGAATTACGATTCAGCTATGTGATCAGGCTCAATCGTCTTAAAAAGCTTTTATCCACCTCTGAACTTTGTTTTTTCATTTTTGTTAGTCCTCCAGCTATCCACATAACATAAAATTGATTATTTACTTGTATTTTTCAAGTTTACAGGGTTGCCCATATTCGACGGACCCATGTTTTGTTATGCGACTTGTGTGCGGTGGAGCGGCGTCTTGTTGAAACCAGGACTGCCTCGTACGCTTTCAACGAATAATTGGCATCACAAAATTGGTCATCATGTCGCGATAACGCTCCTGATTGATGGTTACAGCATGGCCATTTTCATTTTGGAAGAAAAACGGCCCAATGACCGCACCAAACTGTGACTTTTCCGTCATGAAGAGGCAATTCTTGAATCTCCTGAGGATTTTCAGTGGCGTAAAAAAAAAAAATATTTACGGTCCCTTAGAAGGCGCACTTCTCACATTTTTTAATGTTTTAAAATCGCGTTGAGTTTTCACAATTGACGTCTTCTGTTGAATGTAAATTTCAACTATTTCAGAGCGCTCGCGTGGCGTGTATTGGTTCATGGTAAAAATCTGCTTGGACTGACGCTTCAAACGCGGTATGTCATGTGACATCTCTGTCAAAAGTTATGGCGTTGCCAGATGGGTCCGTCGAATATGGGCAACCCTGTATAGTATATAGGATCTACATTGATTTTTCCCGGAGTATATGTTGTAAATTGTGACAGATATAATTACATTTTAAGTGACGCAGTAAAGCCTATTCAACTCCAGCACAAATACTAATGTCTATTCTTTATTAAAATTGAAACAACATATATTTTGGGTAATTTTATTCTCCACTTCCTCAACCACTCTAAAAATATTTCGCTCAACAATGGCTTCGCTCCATCTAATACATCCATTTATTGCAATGAAAACCCCATCAATATCCTTCAAAGCATTAATACTTTTTAATAAACTTCAATCACTGTACGAGAAAAATTGCGAAGAAAATCACATGAACACATACACACACATATATATAAACTAGGGGAGAGGGGGAAAATCTTGACATATAAACGATATATAACCACATTCAATTCGAATAATAAACTGCAACTCTTTTTGTGGCTCGGAACAAAGGGGAGCTAAAAGAGAAAAACATTGGACGTGATAGACTAACTGATCACGTAGTAGTTACTAAATCTTTTATAACTCCCTCTTCTCTTCCCACCCTTCTTCTCTTCCCTTTCACATGCTATGATTTCGGTTTTTAATGGGACTTTTTGTGATTCGTTTGTGGAAAATTTCTTTTGCTCCATGGCTGTGGCTGTGGCTGTGCTGATGATGTCTGTTGTCCTGTTGCCATGTTTATTATAATGCTGTACGTTTGCTGCGTGCCTCAACATGCTCAATCTTATTTTTATGTGGTGTCGGTCAAACTCGAACTCAAACACGATGGATGTGATACAACGAACAAAAAAAATGTGCGCAATAGAAATGTATGAGATCTCACCATATGCCACATTTAGTGTGAACGGCGGTAGGACGGGAGCTCCCGCCAAAACTCCAACCCGTGGGGTGGCCGCTTCACCCATGGACTATACCATGCAATTCAAAACATTTGGTCATCCTGAAGGCGAAAATCTAAATGCTACTGCATATCCATTGTTGCCCTCAGCCGGATTTGGACACGTTAAATCCAAATCATCGTGGCACAAACAACGCTACTACAATACCGATGGTAAGTGCAAAGAAGAATTCCACCAATTAGATGGATTGGCTAGGAAATCAAAGAAAATAAAAATGGACTACTTAACCTGATAATGGTGGTGTACTGCAACTTTTTTCGTTCAATTTTATGTAGATGAATCAACACTGAGCAAGTCAATGACCATGGCTATTGGTTCACAGACGAAGAAGTCGTCCCGCGGAGATGGTGGGGGTCGCAGCAGTGGAGGTGGTGGCAATAAAAGCAACAGTAGTAGTAGTGGCATTGGTGGAGGCGGTGGCAGTAGTGGCGGTGGAGGAGGCGGTGGAAGTGGTGCTGGTGGTCTCACCAATGGCAGTGGCCATTGTGAGTCCGAATCAGACACCAGCATTAGTCCAAGTACTGAATTTTCCAATATGCCTACTTATAGAGTTCCTTGTAAGTCACGCAACAGTGATGGTCGTAGTGGAGTAGGTGTGTAAATGCGGCACAAACACAACACCCACACAACACTGCCACACAAATTGACAAAACAAACGAGGGGGCACAGGGGTTTCCATCATTGTTTAATTAATAAAATTTTAATAACAATATTTTCCCAGCCACTGTGCCCTCCCACCAAATCCTGAAAATGCTTTCACTAATTAAACATTTTCAATTTCATTGTCTCCTTTTTTTCTGACAGATATGTTCCGACCTGACTCTTCAACCGAATCCAATAACGATCAATCATCGCCCATTGACAGGCGCATGAATGCCCAACGATATGGCAAGGATAATAGTGCCATGCCGGGTGATAAGAGAGGAGGTGGTGCCAATGGCCATCGCAGCCGTAAACACCAACAAATAAATGCCAAGGATTCACTGGATAGACGCCTATGTCCTGGTAGTAACAACAGGTAGTTCAGGTACCTAAACCCCAAACTCCAAACAAAATTATGAAAGAATAAATGTCCAATTATTGAGTGAATAGCGAATATTGGTGATAACTTGTCAAAAACAAAATTCAAGTGATTGTACAAATAAGAAAAAAAAAGAGAATATTAAGGATGTTTGGGTTACTTCAAAATTTTGTAAATATTATTGCATGTGCATGCTGAATGTAACTTATATTAACACTTATCTGGTACAACCGATTTCTTCAGGATACAAAGCAAAATTCAGGCACTGTAAAAATAAAAACGAAGCAGGATAGAAAAGTCCTTAAACGAAACAAATACAAACAATATATATGCAATTTGATTATTTAAATTATATTGAATAACAAATACACTGTGCCACAAAACTCAGAAATTTTAAATAATCGATCTAGATATTCAACTGTAATCGGTATATTTCAAATGCAAAGAGCTTTGGGTGGACATTTTTTGAAAGTGCTGATGCAAACTACAAAACCCCATATGCACTTCTTTATATTTGAATCAGCCTTAGCTCAGTTGGGGACATATACAAAATCGGTTGATATTCTTCCTTTAAGCATTGTTAATCTCACAACATATCTGCTATCATCAGGTCTTTCAAACTTGTTTAACACGTCATATAATCAAGAATCTCCGATCTCTTCCATCTCTCTAGCAGATTTTGTGTTAATAAAAATATTGAGATGTACCAAGTCTGAATGGAAGTCCCCCCCTTCCACACTTTTGGACAAATGTCGGGTTAAGATTCAGTGAAATCCTTAAATTTTAGGTATATAGTATCTGCAGCAATATTGCCGATAAAAACATGAGGATTACATTTGTAAAAATATTTAACAGTCAATAGAGTCACTAAATGGAATTGTTGGTCCCTTTTTCAAAACCTGGTTAAACACTCCCTTTAAAATAGATCGTAGCTAGTTAAAATTCTACCAAATTAATTGTCATAAAATTCTATTCTATAAAAATATTCTTCACTAAATATTTGATTCCCTTTACACTTCATTGTTTTGGGGAAATTGTTAAGGGGCGAATTATTCTAGATAAAATGTATTTATTTATTTTATTTGCCTCTGAACAAATAAATTCTTGAAAAAATTATTCTTTATAAATCCATGTTTATAGCTCAGATAATCCTTGAAAAAATCTTCTTTAAAATCCACGTTTATAGCTCAGATCGTCCTAAAAAAATTTTTTTAAAAATCCATGTTTATAGCTCAGATAATCCTTGAAAAGATCTTCTTTAAAATCCACGTTTATAGCTCAGATCGTCCTAAAAAAAATTCTTTAAAAATCCACATTTATATCTCAGATGGTCCTTCAAAAAATATTCTTTAATAATCCACATCTATATCTTAGATGGTCCTTAAAATTATATTCTTTAAAAATCCACGTTTTTGATCAGATGGTCCTTGAAAAAAGTATTCTTTAAAAATCCACGTTTATAGCTCAGAGGGTCCTTAAAAAAATATTCTTTAAAAATCCACATTTATAGTTCAGAAGGTCCTTAAAGAAGTATTCTTTAAAAATCCACGTTTATAGCTCAGAGGGTCCTTAAAAAAATATTCTTTAAAAATCCACATTTATAGTTCAGAAGGTCCTTAAAAAAATATTTTTTGAAAATCCACGTTTATAACTCAGATGGTGCTTTGAAAAATATTCTTTAAAAATCCGCGTTTATAGCTCAGATGGCCCTTGAAAAAACATTCTTTAAAAATCCACGTTTATAGCTCAGATGGTCCTTGAAAAAACATTCTTTAAAAAACCACGTTTATAGCTCAGATGGTCCTTGAAAAAATATTCTTTACAAATCCACGTTTATAGCACAGATGGTCCTTGAAAAAGTATTCTTTAAAAATCCACGTTTGTAGCTCAGATGGTCCTTAAAAAAAGTATTCTTTAAAAATCCACTTTTATACCTCAGATGGTCCTTGAAAGAAGTATTCTTTAAAAATCCACGTTTATAGCTCAGATGGTCCTTGAAAAAGTATTCCTTAAAAATCCACGTTTATAGCTCAGATGGTCCTTGAAAAAAATATTCTTTAAAAACCCACGTTTGTTGCTCAATTGGTCCTGAAAAAATATTATATAAAAAATCCACGTTTATAGCTCAGATGGTCCTGAAAAAAAATTATATAAAAAATCCACGTTTATAGCTCAGATGGTCCTTGAAAAACGTATTCTTTAAAAATCCACTTTTATAGCTCAGATGGTCCTTGAAAAAAATATTCTTTAAAAATCCACGTTTATAGCTCAGATGGTCCTTGAAAAAATGTTCATTAAAAATCCACGTTTATACCTCAAATGGCCCTTGAAAAAAGTATTCTTTAAGAATCCACGTTTATAGCTCAGATGGTCCTTAAAAAAATATTCTTTGAAAATCCGCGTTTATAGCTCAGATGGCCCTTGAAAAAACATTCTTTAAAAATCTACGTTTATAACTCAGATGGCCCTTAAAAAAGGTATTCTTTAAGAATCCAATCCATGTCCCAATCCATTTTGGAAGATTTCGCTTTTGAAATTATGTTACGGAGCACTGTCTTGATATTACCCTTAGCATTTTGACCACATTTGCCCAATATTTACGCACTCCGTCGTGCTCTTAGTTGTTGTGGTCCATTTACAGCTAAATATAATCCAATGTTCATCCAAAAAATTTTAGACTTCTTCGCTGTCCTTAACTCTCTTCTCAGGCAAAATTCCGTTTCAATTGGTTTCAATTTTGTAATCAGGCAATTTTTTCTGCTTTTGTTTCATTTGAACCCCTAAATATTTTGCGATCATCTCCAAATTGCAAGAGGCCCCTCTGTATCTCCAAATTTCCACATGACTTGCTTGTCTACGATATTTGGCGATATTCGTCAACGAAATCGGCATAAAAATGCCAGAAGTTCGTCTTCTGTGTATTTTGTATTTCGCCTGCGAGATTTCGTGTCGTCTGATTTCTATTTGTGATCCAACGGATTGCTATCCGAAGATTTTGGTGATCATTGTGCGCTGGAAATGAAGCGAGGAACCCCATTTTGTAACCATTCTCGGCTTTAATACACTCTCCAGAATATTTTCGCGATTATATTCGGCATTTATTCGTTTAATACGAGCGGAGAGTGACCATCGGCTGTTATGGCGGCCACATCATCACCAGGCCGGCGCTTGAGTTCTGGTGGCCAACCGAAGGTGCACATTTTCAGCTGATCTCTTTGGCAAGTAAACACGTTCATTTTGTTTGTTTACAAACTGCTGGACAACGAATGGTTTCTCATCGGAGAAAACTAATTTCGGCGGTTCCCCACTTTCAGCCAAGCAACTCTTTAGCTCTTTTGAGTCAATTTTCTCTATGTTGCGGTGTTAGTTCTTGCACTTTTTGGAATTTCAATGGCTTTAACCCGAGTTAATTTTTCAATACTTGCCGAATAGAATATTGGGATATGTTCAGCTCATGAGCCATTTTTTGGCCACAGCGACGCTGGTTTCGATCAAGTCGCTATTTTACTTTTCCACCATTTACTGCTGTTGCTGTTTTCTTCCGTCTACTTCCTTGGCGTCGGGCTCGCAACGATTATCACGGTAACGAGCAATGGTACGAGACACAAAAGATTTATTAACATTTAAATGCTGGATTGCTCTAACGATAGCCACTTGTGGTTCTCCAGCCAAATATAAAGAAATCACACTATCACGCATGAATTCCATCACGAATAACTATTTTTTTTTTTTTTTTTTTTTGGAAAATTATCACCGAAGTGCTTTTGTACGTTTGTAAACAATAGATTGAGCTGTCACTATAATACTTTTAACAGTTGTGGTACGAGAGGCTTAGAAATGTCAGCTGTCTGAACTTGGTTGCAGTTTCTTCATCTCGCCCTGTACACCTTCGTAATCAGCATAAAATTACAAGTCGAATTAACGACGTGTGTCTGTCAGTCCGTCTGTCTGACTGTCTGTCTGTCTGTCGGAATCACGATACAGCCCACATTATTTGACGTAGAGCTTCAAACTTTAGCACAATAATTTGTATTGTGTCTAGGATGGTTGTTATTGAAAATGAGATATATCCACGTTTTGGTATAGCCGCCATATAACGGTACCTCCCGATATTCGATATTGTAATGATTTTTGCCAAAATTTTTGTCGAAATGGGTTCTAGCTCCGGTGGCGGAACATTTTATGTATAGGTCCACGTTTTTGTATAGCCCCCATATAACGATACTTGCCGATATTCTTTATTTTGATGATTTTTGCCACAGTTTTCCAAGGATCTGTTCAAAAATATGTATTTGTAGTTCAAAATGGGTTCCAGCTCCTGTGGCGGAAAATAGTATGAATAGGTCTACGTTTTCGTGTAGCCCCGACATAATGGTATCTCCGGATATTCAGTAATTTGAAGATTTTTGCCACATTTTTTTAACGAATTTGTCTAAAAATTGGTATTTGTAATTTATGATGGGTTTTAGCTCTGGCTGCAGAACATTGAATACTTACCTTCACGTTTTCTACATATAACTATACGCACTGATATTCGGTATTTTAATAATCCTAGTCACATTTACCCACGCAATTGTTACAAATTTGGTATTTAAGAAGATTTGGTAGATGACAATCCTTGAAGTATAAAATTGTCTATAGAGGTTTCCGGTTCCGGTAAGTTTCACAGTGTTATCCAAACGGTTATACTGGTATTTGTAGTGGGACAAGTTTCAATTCAGATACTTTTATATACAAATGTTTTCTTTACCCAAAGGTTGAGAGTATTAATAGATCGGTCCGGACGAACTTTTTGCTTTTTTATACCCTCCACCATACATCTCTCTTTTGTCTGCAGGCAGGTCAAGTTCCAAGATGGTCTGTATCGGTTCACGATATCGTATAGCCCCCATATAATGGTACCCCCGCATATACTCGGTATTTTGATGATTTTACCCATATTTTTCATCGGAATTGTCTGAAAATCCATGTGGGTACTTTATACCTCGGAAGAGAATTATCCATATAGGTAGACGATATCGTATAGCCCCCATATAACGATACCCCCCGATATTCGGTATCTTGATGATTTTAGCCACATTTACTAATGGAATAGACTGAAAATCCACACACGGAGTTCCTTGTGAGTACTTTATCGCTTGAAAGAGAATTATCTATATAGGTTCACGATATCGAACAGATCCCGTATAACGGTACCCCCGATATTAGGTATTTTGATGATTTTAGCCACATGTATCAATTGAATTGTCTAAAATTCTACACAAGGAGTATATCACCCCCTGAAAGAGAATTGTCTATATAGGTCTACGATATCGTATAGCCCCCATATAATTGTACCCCCGATATTCTGTATTTTGATGATTTTACCCACATTTTTCATCGGAATTGTCTGAAAAGTTCCTTGGGAGTACTTTACCCCCAGACATAGATTTGTCTATATAGGTCCACTATATCGTATTTTCCCCCTATATATCGGCACCTTCCGGTATTAAGTGTTTTAAAGATTTTAACAGAATTTTCAATGGATTTTATTTTTTTTTGAAAATTTTCTAATTCGTTCCAAATGGTGGACGGTATTCAAAGTTCGCCCCGTCCGAACTTATTGCTTTTTTACTTGTTTTTTTTAACAGAACATAAAGGACAATATTGATAAATATACACAAAATTTCATGTACACGCACACTTTATGTCAAAGCAACCCATCTTCAAAGAGAACTATAAAGTACTCCATATTTATATTCTTTCGCAATATATTTATACTTATCCAAATTTCTGTAAATACAGTCTTATTTAATTATCGATTGTTTCGTTCTTCCTCTTCTTTTTCACGTATTTACAGTTTAGACAGTGAGCTTAACAATTCGGAAACATCGGCCTCCATTGCAGCGACCATTGCCGCAATGACGGGGGCGAATAACATGGGTTTTCGACCACCTTCCGGTTTTATCGATTCACGTGAATTCAGCGAAGCCGAATGTGATCACGAACAAAGGGCCTTAGACCTGGAGGTGCAACGTGTCATGGAGAACAAGGATGGGCAATTGAGCAAAGTGGACCGGGAGGAATTAACCTCACTGTTGGCAAGATATCACGAGAAGAAGGAACAGGAGCGTCAGGAGTTTACAATACATGTCTAGGATACGGCAAAGGAGGCGGCTCCTAAAAAATAACGATACGTTTAACAGACGACAAAAGTTTCAAGGGCAACTTGAAACTGCGTGAAAATCAAAATGTTACATACATACAAGTACATATATAGGTTATATATTTGTATGGTAAGAACAGAACCACATTAAGATGTTTTAATGCAAAATGAAAACCTACTAAATGTATACTTTTCACAGTTTATATGTATATGTTATTGTAAGTTATATAGAATAGTAATGATATGGACAAAAAAAAAAAAACTATGTAGCCAACTAATCTCAACCAAAAAGACTTAAGCAAAAGTTGTTCTCAAAATTTAGTTTTTTTGAACTATATTTGTTTTTTCTACTATCTAAGGGGAATTTTTGATATATCATTTTAAATTTTGTATATATTGTTTTCGAAATATAAGAAGCAAAAAAAAATACTAACAGTACTCAAAATTGTTTTATGATGCAATACTAATGTTTATAACATCCAACAAGTTTTGATATTCTTTCAGGAGGATAGAATGTGTTTATATTGATTAAAATTTTGCATTTTTATGGGGTAATTAATTATACCATATATAGTCAAATTAAATGTATTTTACTGAGGCTCAAAGGAGGATGTGAATTTTCACTATGCTATCAATTTCAAATCTATTGTAGATTCTTAAATCTCATTTTCGATATGTACAGAAATACTTTGTTTTAAGGGGTTTAAAAGCCAGCACCTTTTGGAATTAGTCTTAACCTTTTTGCTGCTACTAACGCAGCTAAAATAGCACATTATCAGCTATTTAGCTCATCGCATAGCTATTTAGCTCGTTTTTGAAATGCGAGCTATTTTTGTTTAGCCCTAACCGACAATAAAACTAAAAATTCAGCACACAAAATAAGCTATAGCTCGGATTTCGGCTGCTGCTATTTTCATTTTAGCCGAATGATCAGTCGAAACATATTTTTATAATTGTGTGTTGTCAACGTACAAATTAATAAAACGCGTATATATGTTTTCGAGCTAATCTAAGTTTATTTTTGGATTATAACTTACCAATATTTTTTCTTAATGTATTGTATAATATCTCACAAAAATGAAATAAATTCAAATGTATAGGATACAATAACATTTGCACATTGTCTCCATATGAAAATACCAAATGTATAAAAATGCAATTTTTATCGCATTTCATACGATGTGAAAATTATATAAACACCGCTGAACCCAAAAATTAATATTTATTTTTCTTGGCTAAGAACCGAGCTACGCAGCATCAGTAATGTTGCTTTTTTGGTGCTGAGCTATTTTGATTATTAGGCTAATTTTATTTTAGCTTCCGCCGCCCACTGCTATTGCCTATACTGACGATTTCAAATAGCATTAGCTCTGTCGGCTACATTGTAATGTGTTGCTATTCATTTTTTAAAGATTTTTTAGCAGGCAAGTCTGAAAATTTTCGGTGCTATTGCTAATTTGGCGTTAGCATTATAAATCCTGGTTTTTAATTCAAAATTTGATGATGCCTTGATCATTGATATTCTTTAAAACCTTTTATCTCTGACTCCAAATGGAATTTTGGGGTCGTCATCATCAGAATGCCCTGTGTTTGGCCTTCGTGTAAAGTCACTGGTGGAAATGCATTATCATCGATCTGACTTACATTACCCATCGGTTTTGTTGACCGGTGTATTTTATCTTCACACTAGATCTAATGTTGGTAGAAATATTGGAGGAAACCGAAATATTTCATATCAATGCTATATATATATATTTTTATACCCTACAACACTATGTGTTGGGGGTATTATAAGTTTGATTGGGCCAAAAATTATGTAACACCTCGAAATATTGGTTTCCCACATATGAAAATATATATGGATCTTCCTATCTCGCCGAGATGAGTCGATCTAGCTATATATGTCCGTCCGTCCGTCTGTCCATGTTAATTTGTAATCAAGCTACAGGTCGCAATTATGAACCGATCCTCACGAAATTGAAAATGGAGGTGGGGTTATGGTCAGAATAGAACACTGTTGTTTTTGGAGATGTTCGCACAATATTTAGGGGTTAAAATGGACCAAAAACAGAAAAAAATCCTGATTTTGCAGTTGCTCTATAGGCCACAATTATGAACCAATCGACCAATGAACCAAATTTACATGGAGTTAGAGTTTAGGAGTGGACAGAAACATACCAATTTTTGAGGCCATCGGACAATAATTAGCGGGTAAAATAGACCCTAACTTGTATGTAAGAAAATAGGAAAATGTGCACTAAACCGCGAATATTTTCAATCCCAGCCAAATCAAAAATACATTAAAAGATCGATTCTGATCGTAGGAGTGATGCTAATAGCCAAGTCATCGGATATATAACAAAATAGGTACAATATATATGTAAAAGAATTGATCTTATTTATTCTGCTTATAAATCAAGAACCGCTGGGCCGATTTCCACAATTCCCATCAATTCGGAATGGTCTCTTGTCATAAAACGATGAAATCTAAGAAAATCTCAGAAAAATATACCAATAAAAAAGTGAATATCTTTGGTCGATTTTTTTTTTCAATTTTTGTCATATTTTTTATCGCATGCGATTTTTTCAATTTGACTTATAATTTTGAACTCTAAATTTTCTAAAATTTTACACCCCCAAATACTACGTTTTGAGGGTATTATATTCATATCGCAATTATCGTCCGATCCACACGAAATTTTGCATGGGGATAGGGTCAGAATTAAAGTCTATTGTTCTTAAGATGTGCATTTAGAGGTGCAAATAGACTAAAAAAATTATTTCTCTCTAATTTTGTAGTCGCCCTCAGTCGAAAACTAATCGACACGGGATTTCGCATCAGAAGAGAGTTTAGCATTTTGGATGACCATTTTTTTGCTTTCAATTTTGTTTACTTCTTTAATTTCTTACTTCTTTAATTTAACAACCAACTTATAGTTAGACGTAGAAAAATGCATTTATAACTAAAGATTTTATCAACTGGTTGAAAAAAGTTTCGCAGGAAAGGAACTGGAAATCTACTTTTTTTCAGATGGGTCAAATCGGCATGTACCCTGATCGTTCAAAAAACTCATTTAACGGGTGGATTGATTCAAATTTGTTTTAAATATAATATTTATGTCAGACGTAGGTCAGGTTCGAAAATCGTGAATGCCAATATTTTGAGTAATCATGAGTCTTATAAAATAGCCAAAATAATAACCAAATTTTCCACAAACTTTTCTTATAAGATTTTTATCACAACTAGTTAGACTTAATATGAGAAATATCCACTCTTTTTGGTGACGCCACTAAGAGAGAGTTTTAATAAACAGTAGTCTCATATTTTGTTGATTGAAATCTTGGGACGTGCCGAGCTTGAAAGGAGTTGGATGCTCATTTCGCGTCTTATAAACTTCATGGTTATTCCAAAGTGTGACCCTTATTGGGGCAGCTACCAGAAAAAGTGATCTGATCGATTCCATCTTCATAACAGACCAAGAGTTGTCACAAATATTAGGTTAAGCGAAATTTCAAGACAAGTGGACTCTCATTTCACATTTTAAAACTATTGCGATTATTCAAAATATTGACACTTTGTGAGAGAGGTACCACAAGGAGTTGACCGGTATTGTTCATTTTCGCATCTGAAGGTGCACAGGCACAGATATTAGATTCTGCAAAGATTGAACAAAATCGGATGATCCCTTCTTGTTCTGGGGGGTGGTACCAGAAGGAGTTGACCGATATCGCTTATCCCCAAACTCGATCTAAGTTCGACAAATATATACATTGTACTAAGTTTGGACGAATTCGGAACACCTTTTGAGCCTTATCGTACGCACCAGTTAGACATACAAACGGATGGACGTCCGTAGATCGACTACAAATGCCCTGAAGCGGATTAGGTTCAAAGAGAACTATATTATTTCGATGAGGCACGTTTTAGTCATATCAAATGATATATACCGTCTGTAGCCATATGGCTGAGGTTATAATAAGTAATGCATTTGCAGTATTTCGATTTGATCAGCATCGAAAACTTTTGGATATATTAAATAATATATGTATCCAGTAGGAATATGGCTGAATGTAAAATACGTACCCCTATAGGTTGCAAGATAAACTATTAATTTTCTTAGGTGAGATATAGGAATGTGACTCATTATAAAATTGATATCTACTTGCCTCTATCAAATGTTCAAATGTGACATTTGTCTCAAAATACACCTCCATTCAAAATATGATATATTTCTGAATCCGAAATGAATCAAAAAATTGTTACATTTTTAGCACACAGTATTATCTTCCATATTCATATTACTTTACTGCCATGCGTAATTACATATGTATGAATGTGTTTTATGTACATTCTGAATGTGTATGTACACTGACACACAACTACACTTGCAAATAGGTTAATAAGCATTTATGTTATATAACAATGTTATGCATTTAAATTGTGTATTTATTTAGAAATTTTTGTAATTAGAAGATTAAAATTATATTTGTATTATATCTGGCATAGGATCTAAGCTAAGAGTAACACGTAAATAAATAAATAAATAAATAACAAGGTATACATATATATGTGTGTGTGTACACAAATACAAAACTCCCATACTGAGAGTCGAGCACTCATGTGTATGTAAATGAACATTATTAACAAAACTTCCCATAATTTATATTGAATTGTTAAGTAACCGATATAAATAAATAAACAAACAAAACTATAGAAAAATATTCCAAAAACTACAAAAACAACAACAAACAATATGTATATCACAAATAGGTCACCACCAACCACACTGCGCCAGTAATGAAAACAAAACTTAAACTGCAGCAAATTATATATAATTAAATCATAGAATACATAAATAGAAGTAAAAATATATACATATATTATGAAAAATAAAAATTTAAATAAATAAATAAAACAGAAAAGTGTATGGCAGAACAGAACAGAATACTTATCATCACCATCAAATTATTGTTCATTTTTTTCTGTTTGTTTTCGATCACATTAAAATAATTAAATTATCCAAGCATGAAGTGCATCAGACGAAGTATGAAATTAATTGAAAAATAAAACAGCAACGGCAAGTCATCGCATTTAGTTTGACATAAATTGAATTGTAATATAATCAAAATATTAACGATCAAATAAATCAATAAAATAACATTGTTCGGTGTTTTTCGCTCACTGAACTATTATTAAAAAAAAATTATAAATATTAAATAATTTTGTTTAATTGTCGTAATAGAGGTATCGAAGAGGTAAGGTTTATTAAAATTCTTAAAATTGTCGAAGGCTGGTTCCAACCACCATACATAGTATGGAGGGTATATTGAGTTCGTCATTCCGTTTGTAACTCATCGAAATAATAATTCTAAACCCAACAAAGTATATATATTCTTGATCAGCATAAAATTCTAAGACCTGTCCGTCCGTCTTTTGTAATTACTAAGCTAAAATTTTGCACAGATCTGTCTTGTGTCTGCAGGCAGGTCAAGTTCGAAGATGCGCTATATTGGTCCACGATATCGTATAGCACCCATATAACGATACCTCCCGATATTCGGTATTTTGATGATTTTAGCCACATTTTTCAATGGAATTGTCTCAAATTCTACACAAGTAGTTCTTTGTGAGTACTTAACCCCCTGAAAAATTGTCTATATTGATCCACGATATCGTATATCTCCCATATAAAGGTTCCCCCTGATATTCGGTATTTTGATGATATTAACCACATTTTTGATGGAATTGTCTGAAAATTCTCACAAAAGTACTTTATACCCTGGAAGATAATTGTCTATATAGGTACACGACATCATATATCACTCATATAACGTACTCTCTCGATATTCGGTATTTTGATAATTTTAGAAACATTTTTCAACGAAATTGTCTGAAAATCCTTACAAGGAGTTCTTAGTGAGAACTTTATACGCTAGAAGAGGACTACGTCTTTGTATATCCCCCATATAACGGATTTTATTTGAGCGGTATTTTCCAACGATTGTTTTTTAACTTTTTAAGTTTCTTCCAAATGATGGAGAGTATAAAAAATTCGGCACGGCCGAACTTAGCTTCTTTTTTACTTGTTTTGACATAAAATTGTGAACTGTCTCTCCGTCAGAGGTCACAATATCTAAAACTCACAACAGTTGTTTTTTCTAAGATATTCGATTGAAAGTAGGCTATATCTGTCCAATCTAAGTTTTTAAGTAATTTTTTCTTCTCATTAAAAAATACAAACGGTACATCTCGATTTGAAGGATGTTGTGGGTTTCACACTCCTTTCCAATCAAATTAGTGTCAATTTGTCAGACATAATCTCTTTCTGCGAAAGGGTTTTCATATAGGACCACAGTATAATATACCCCGCCTACCCCCTAACATTCGCTACTTTAAAATTTACATCCAGAATTTACAAAAAAGTAAGGAAGCAGTTACGTTCGGCCGGGCTGAACTTTTTATACCCTCCACTATTTTGAAAGTAACTCATGTAAGAATATGTCTATTAATGCCGATTCGAGGAATATGCGTCACTTCTGTTATTAGGAACATTCAATACTAACATCTTACAAATCGGTAAAAAAGTTGGCTTCAGTCATCAAAGTAACAAATATCGGGAGTAAAGGGGCTATAGAAAAACTATGACTCATATAGAAATTGTTCAAATAAAGCAAAAGAGCCCCATCCGTTAGAAAATGTTATAAAAATCGTCAAAATACCGAATATCGGGATGTACCTTTATATGGGGACTATAGAAAACCGTAGACTTATATAAACAGTGTTCTGCCACAGCATGTCCAATATGAACCCTAAATATCAAATTTTAGGCTATTCCGCTAAAAACTGATCCTAAATTAATCAAAACACTAAATATAGAAAGGTACAATTATATGAACCCTATGGGAAAACGTGGACTTACATAGACAATGTTCTGCCTCAGAAGATAGAATTTTAAACTATTCTCTTAGGAAGGGTGGCTAAATCGTAAAAATATCGACTATCGAGATATACCTTCATATGGTGGTATAACATGGCACAATATTTTGAAACAGGAGGTAGATCCCTTTCTTCCGTTGGCACACTTCACGCGCGTATCACCCTTCCCTCACCACCATTACATCACATACTAATAACTCTGGGAAGTTCTTGTTGTTATTGCCGCTGTCGAAGCCATTCTTTCCATGCCCCTGAGTTAAACACAGCGTATGTATTTTGTAGTAGTATATTATATATATAATTATATATATATATATATATATATATATATATATATATATATATATATATATATATATATATATATATATATATATATATATATAATTATATATATATAATATACTACTACAAAATACATATATATATACTAGCTGGCCCAGTCCGCGTTGCCGGCCCATAGTTTTAGTCTTTAATGCATAGTTTTTAAAGCATAAAAATTCACAAATCTGGCTAACAAAAGTGGCACAATTTTTTTTATAAATGATGACTCGACTAAATAGAAATAAATACGTTATTCAAAAAACCTGATCCTATTTTTCAGTAAGAGGTTTTATTTTGCGATTTAAAAACCTAAATAATATAGCATATATATTAAAAAGTATGCATTAACTGTTTATAATAGGCCCATGTAAGATGGTTCTCTACCCCCAAAGTAGCCTAAACACACATTTTAAGTCAAATCGATTGGAAAATATAATCAAAACCCTCGAAAAATGTAAAATCAGGAGGTACTTTTGTATGAGCCCTACTCCGAAACATTGACATTGAAAATTTTCCGCGAAGAGGACTTCCACCAGAAGCTAGATTCCAAATAAGGGCAAAATCAATTGAAAAATGTGACCAAGGCCCGGGTAATAGCTAAAATCACCGGATACCTTCATATAAGAGTTATAATGAAGCATGGTTCTATACTTATAATCATTTGAAATAATTTGTTTTTCTTTCTAAAATCTCAAATTACCAACATTTGAGGAATTTGATAGGGGCTATATGAAAATGTAGAGCAACCTGACACATATTTTATACAAATGATTCCTCATGTAACCCCTAGGACTGTATCAAATTTAAAACTTTATCGTCACTGCGGAGTTTGCGGAGTATATGGCCAAATATTTGCGGCCCTTGGTTAAGCTATATAAAATGGACTCTAAAAAAGTTAGATCCGGGAACCCCTATTTTAGGATTTTTATTTACCAACCAAACCAAAACAACCCTAAACCCAAGATTGTCTGTGGCGCAATGTAATTACTGACGATAGCGCATAGTGCCCTTATAATGTGACCTATGATTTAAGGTTACTTTTAAGGGTTCGGAAGAATTTTCCGAGTATATAAATCCTTTTCTTACTATGTTTTCAATTCACTCCACTATTTTGTATAGTCCGCATATTACAGTGCCTCTTCATATTCGGTATTTCACTGATTGAAGTCCCAATGATTTTTGCATTTTGAGTTCTCATTGAATGAGAAAATATGCAAAGCAACTCTTTAGCTCTTTTGAGCTTATTTTCTTTCTGTTGCGGTTCTTCTTCCAAAATTCTTACACTTTTTGGAATTTCAATGGCTTTACCCCGAGCTCGGATATGTTCAGCTCACGAGCCATTATCGGCCACTGCGACGCGGGTTCCGATCAAGTCTCTTCTTTACTTTTCGAACTATTTCTGCTGATGTTGCTGTTTTCTTCCGCCCACTTCCTTAACGTCGGGCTACGCTACCAGTATCATGGCAACGTGCGATGATACAAAACACAAAAGATTTATTCACATTTAAATGCTGGAGTGCTCTGACGATAGCATCTTTTGGTTTTCCAGCCAAATATAAAAAATCACACTATCACGCTTGAATTCCATCACGAATAATTTTTTTTCTGGAAAATTCGCACCAAAATGCTTTTGTACGCTTGTGAACAATATAATGAGCTGTCTCTGGAGTAATTTTAACAGCTGTCGAACGAGTGGCTTAGCACTCTGAAGTTGATTGCAATTTTTTCATCTCACCCTGTATATATCTGTCGAAATACTGACTGGAAAAGTTTCACCTTGCAATTAAAAACATTGAAGATTTTTGCGAAAGGAGTGAGAAATAGTGAGCCAATAATGTCTGCTTAAGCTTAAGTTTGATATTACTATCATCACGTGCCATGCTTGGATGTTTACATTCTTCTTTCGAACTCGGTCAAAGTTTAATAAAAATATAACTATATATTATTTACCAAGTTTGGAATAAATCGGATATTCCCTTCCAGAGCTATCACAACTTTCAGCTAGACATTTGAAAAGATGGAAATTGATTCCGCTCTAGCAAATGTCCTTCACTTCGAAAAGCCACATTTTGGCAGCATCTGTAGCCATACCACTGGGCAACATATAAGGCTTATGGAGTGAGTTTTTTCTCGTAGTAATATTTGTGTCCCACTCACACACGTGGTAATAAAAAAAAAAATAAAAAAAAAACTAAATGTATTTACTTCGATACGTCGGTGGTACTCATCATGAATTCTCAGAGAAATTTTGTATCGTGGTATATTTTTCAAAGCCATTTCTTTGACTGTCGTGACGTACCACCACCATATAAACCTAGTTTCATTTTTATACCATGAGGACCCAAAATGCTAAGGTACAGCTAATTTCTGTAGAAATTGGAACTGAAGCCTTTATAAAAAAGGTTTGCACTTTTTAAAGCCGACATGTGAAAAAAATAGATAATTTGGTTATAAAATACGCCCTAAACATTCGCAATACTTTATATCTGATGGTAGCACTTTATGGGGCTTCGTCAAATATTAATCACAATTTGTGCATTTTTGAAATAATATATGATTAAGCCTGAAAATTTTGTATAAATTCTCAAAATAAAACGTTAGATTGCGGACTCTGCATACGTAAATTTTAATACTCTCATTGTGCTGAAGTTATTGTGAATGATAATGGTTCTTAATATGTAACTTGTACCACTGCAAATTCACAAATTCCTTCATATACATTCCGGTTATTGCACTCCGAATGTGATATACACATTTCAAGCATTGTTTCATTTACATTCATTGCCTTCTTAATAGAATTTGTGCTACA